CTTTGGAAACACTATAGTCTTAAGCATAAAGGAATCTATGATGCTCTTAAACACAAGAATACAGCGCCTTCAAGTCAATCTAGCAGCACATCATCATTTTTTGAGCCTCAGAGACCAGCGACCCATGAATCAAGACCAACAAACAATCCAGCCAAATATAGAGAGTTAGTGCTATCGTTTATAGTATCTAATAACCTGTCTTTACGCATTATCGAAAGCTATTCATATCGTCAATTAGTACGGTTCTTAAGTCCATCTGTGTTATCACTTTCGTCAAGAACATTGCACCGAGAACTACAACGCCAATTCTCATATCACCGAGGCATACTACAGCTTGAACTCCATTCTCATATTATACATGGAGGCCGGATATCCATAACGACAGATGCATGGTCTGCACGGAACTATACAGAGTATGCTGCTGTTACCGCTCATTGGATTAATGATAAATGGCAGCAGAAATCAAAATTGCTTGATGTGATACATCTTCAAGAGCCTATTCATAGCGGTGAATACTTAGCTCAGCAATTAGCAGCTGTAACAGATAGTATAGCTATTACAGGCGCTATCTTTACATGCACCCGAGACAACGCATCATCAAATACTGTGATGCTCTCAGAATATGAGAAATTGGCTAGCAACGCCCAAACATCAACTCAACAACCTTGGACATTTACTGTCAAAGAAGGCGATGTCCGGTGTATTGCACATATCATAAATCTCGCAGTTCAAGCCGCTCTTACGAGTTTAAAAGCAGAACCAGATGTAGAGACAGAGACATACCGGTGTGAGCAAGGTGCAGCTCGGATTCCATTTAGTAGAGATAGTCATGTGGAAGTCATGAATGCTCTTGCAAAGCTACGAAGACATATCTATGTCTTTCGTAATCGACGAGCATGGAAGGATGCTTTACAACGACAAGTCAAAGCTATAGGTTTAAAACCACAGCAACTATCACTTGATATGCCAGTACGATGGAATTCAACACATCGTATGCTTGATACAGCATTAAAACTCCAAATACCAATCACAGCAGTATGCATAACACAACAGCTTGATATTAGTATGAAAGATATTGCATTAACTACAGGAGATTGGGCTGTTATTAAAGATCTTGAACGACTGTTCTTAATATTTCTCAAACCATCAAGACGGCTACAAAGTGATACATATCCGTCACTTAACTTTGCTATTCCACTTTATCTTAAAATGATAAATAAAGTTAAGAAGATGCAACAAGAAGTTGGCGAGCACTCAGCAATTGGTATTGCATGCACAGTAGCTTATCAAAAGCTTCACGCGTATTATACTCTTGCAACAAATCAGCAATGTAAGCACTCAGCTGTAGCTACAATTTGCGATCCACGGATGAACCATACAGTGTTTAAAAAGATATATCCAGATAGTACAGATCATGTACGAATCACACGGGCAAGAGCACAGTTTGAAGATGTTTGTAGAACATATAAGACACGGCAATATCATCTTGATACAGAGCGTATTGAACGTGAAACAGCTCTTGCAGATGCATTAGGAAATGCAAATACTAGAGTGCAAGAACCAGATTCTGATGAAGATTTATTTGCATCAGAGGGTATATCATTTGAAGAACCAGAATGGAAACGATGGATGCTTGAACCACGGCCTGGTGAGCATACTGATATTCTCAAATATTGGTCTGCAAAGCAATATCAATATCCAATAATTGCTCAAGTTGCTCGAGACCATCTTGCAATTCCTGCGACATCAGCACCATCAGAACGGGTATTTAGCAATGGTAGCGATATCATTACTAAGAAAAGGAATAGATTGTCGCCATCGACAATTAGATATCTGCTTTGCTTACGGAATTGGGGTTATTTACCAGATGCCGACAGCGACGGTGATGATGCAGATGATGAGGCAGAAGAATAGGAATAGGGGCTGTCTATTTTATTATTATATTTGTCACGAGTTTCACTTTTCTAGTTACATATTCTAGTTACATATCATTATCTATTTCAAATATCAAAAGCGTCATTTTTGTATACGGAATTGAGGCTCAACTACCTGCTAAAGTATCTGTAAATACCTACCTTACCTGAGCAAAGTCGCTCAGATACTTACCTTACCTGGCGAGGACCCAGATACTACCTGGGTAGTATCTGCCGAACACTGTGGTCAACGAGCCCAACTATATGAAGCAGAATGGTGGTTTGGATATGTGGTGGAACCGCAGTCTCTATGGAGCCGACGTGTCAGACTCAAGTGCTGTCACTTGTTGATGCTCTTACCGTCACTGAAGGCAACGCTGCTGTCATTTAATTCTCACCACCAACCCCCTGCCACCACCATGACCTTCTCACTGCCTCTATATGACAGAATCTCACATACATCCGCCCCCAAGGCCTCGGAGTAAACGGCGCCACCTCTGGAGGCAGAACCACAGCCACCTGCCTCGCTTCTTACTCCAATGTTGACACTTGAACCGGAAACAATGCTACTGCTTCGGGAGAGGTCTATATATACTGGGAGAAATATTTCGCTAAAGTCAATCCCCACCAGGACTAGAGAATGATAGGGAACAGAAACAGCGCCTTCTCTCTGGTTATTTCTATTAATTACATCCTAACCCTTCACAACGCATCATCCCCCTCAAGCACGCCTAGCGCCCCACCAACAAGATGCAAGCTCCCCGTAACCAGCGCCTGCACCTCCCCCCCCTCCCCCGCCAACCCCCTCACATGCCCCAACGCCCCCTCAATAGTGTCACTCAGCACCACCGTCGCCCCCGGATCCATCTTTTCCCACTTCTCCTTAAACGCCTTCTGCATCGTCATCCCCTTGATCGCAGCGGGATCATACCCCACATTGACGAAATCCTTCTTATACCCCTCCGCATACGTGATATTCGTACAAAACACCACATGATCGAACTTCACGAGTCCCTGCTCCGCAATCCCGTGATATAGCCCCTCGAGTAGCTCGACGGCCCCCTCGCGGCCTTGCTGGTTGAATATCAACACGCGTTTGCTGGCGCTGTGCTTGGCGCTCTCGCCGCCGAACCATTGCGCGGAGACTTTGAGGCTGTCGGCTGTGTGAGCGCCGTCTATGAACCAGCGGATGTTGCCTTCGACCTTCGTTTCGCAGCGGCCGCGGAGAACGACCTGTTCTAGACCGTCTATGAATTCCTTTGGGAGGGTGTCGGGGGGTAATTTGAAATCTGGCTGGAGACGCTTCATCACCGTTTCTGTGAGGGAGATGGCGAGACTTGCGTTCTGCTTCTGGAACTTGGCGTCGGGTGTTATGCGGACGTCTTTGAGGCGTGGGTCGACAAGTAGAACTTCAATCGCGACGTTCTTCTCCTGCGCCCTCTTCGCCACCACGCCCGCGGCCGCAGGGAGCTGTTCGACTGAAAATGCTGGACTGCCATGCTTTAGGATACCCGCTTTGTGCCACGCGATCTCTTCGATAGTGTGACCCAGCACATCCACGTGATCGATTCCCAGGGTCGAGATACCAGTAGCAGCAGGCTGTGCGATGACATTCGTGGCATCGTACTCGCCACCGAGCCCAACCTCATAGACCGCTGCATCAACACCCTCAGACACAAAAGCATGGAAGCTCATCAGCGTCAGAAAGCGGAAATACGGAGGCTTATCCAAGGCGCCAAGGCCTTCTTTGGCATTGTATAGATCGAGGCGGTCCCAGACGTCAAAGAAGTACTTTGTGAACTTCTCGGTAGTGATGGACAGGGAGTTGATGCGGATGCGTTCACGTACGGAGACGAGGTGGGGGGAGGTGAAGAGGCCGATTTTGGAGGGGAGACCGTGGCTCCGCTGGTAGGCGGCGAGGATGGAGTCCACGTAGGCGCTGGTGGTGCCTTTGCCTTTTGTGCCGGCGACGTGGACGATGTTTAGGCAATCGAGATCGTGTGGCTGGGGGGGTGTTAGAATGGGGGTTGGAAGGAGTGGATGGAGGGAGGATACGGACTTTATAGCCAAGGCGGTTGAGGGCGTGGAGGGTGTTTTCATAGTGAGGTGGACCTGGCTGCACGCCAGCTGCTCGTCTTTCATTGAGGGTCTTGAATTTGGTCTGGAGACTGTTCAGGCAGTCGAGGGCGTCCTGTAATAGTTAGCAATGGTCTCATACAGCTCGCAGGGTTCTAACATCATAGGTCCGGTTTGCCATGGGCGTGCAATGCCTGGAAAAGGCGAACGCGGGTTTTAAGAATGCACTCCGTTTATATGGCGCGAGGGGATTTGGCCGATGCCAAAATGAAGGGATTGTCATTCCCGCTCGTCATAGTCTGTAGAAACGTGACATAGAGCTGTTGAGGTTAGTAGACCGGAGGGCATCGGGGATGTGGATCAAGCATTAATCCGAGAAGCTAGAGCATCATCCCGCCTAGAGTGTCAAATTAATTTACGTCTACTAGGTAACTTAACGGCACTAGAAATCGGCAAAAAATAGATAAAAACAAAAAACAAAAAACAAAAAACAAAAAAAAATGGACTGGTCTACTTGAGAGTAGATGGTTCTGAAATATTCCGAACCGGGGAGTCGAACCCCGCGCAACCGCGGATTCATAATTCTTTCGAAATGGTGAGAGGCGGATATGTTACCGATACACCAGTTCGGAGTGGGTTGGAGTTCGGAACGGGTATTAGGTAGGATACAGATAGTAGGATTAGTGGTTTTTTATTTATTTATTTTTGAATTTTTGAATAGCTGGCTGATTGAAAAGGTCTAACATTCACTAGGAATATTTATTTCGTTTATGGTCACTGGAAACAATTTGACCAACAACGGTTTTCCTCTGGTTTTTGAAGCGCCCCGCGCGATGTTTTGACGGCGCGAGGCTGACAAGGCTGACGGCAACAAACAGTTCCCGACCTCATCACATCTGCTCTCTCTACCCAGAACTTCAACAGCATGGGACGACGATGATGATCATTGTGTATTATCAAAAGCTTCTTCATATAAGCTGCGGATCGATTCCCTAGCCTCTTTCTTTAATAATGATCCGCCCTACCCTTCTTCCTCCAAGGCTCATCAGATCATTACTGCATTTCCATTACTCGACTATATCGCCAGCCAAGATGGCACCCAATCCAGCGCCAACATATAAGCAAGCCCTCTCTCTTCTCAATGAGTTACAATCAAACCAGGCGGTGGTGTCTATGGTGTCGTCCTCAAACGCCAACAGCCTGGCCATTCCAGAAATGCTGGATTGGCTCCGGAAACTGAGATACACCCCCGCGAGTTTTAATGACCTCCGGGTCATCCACGTCGCGGGCACAAAGGGGAAAGGCAGCGTTTGTGCCATGCTTGACTCGATGCTGAAACATTATCTCTTAACCCAAAATACTTTTGGTGTTGCAGAAGGCCGAAAGCCCTTGGGAAGGGTAGGCGTTTTCACCAGCCCTCACCTCATTACCCCACGTGAGCGCATTCGGTTGGATGGGCTACCAATCTCGAAAGAACTATTCACACAGCGATTCTTCGAGGTATGGGATAAGTACACGGCCTTCGCGCTGGAGAATGACCACCCGAATCCAGACGGGGCGGAGTCTAAGCCTGGCTACTTTCGCTTTCTTACGATACTGGCTCTACATACCTTCTTGAAGGAGAATGTGCAGACTGCGATAATTGAATGTGGCATTGGTGGCGAGTATGATAGCACCAACATTCTACCCAGAGAGGCAAAGACGGCCTCAGTTATCACAAGGCTAGGCATCGATCACGTCGGCATGCTCGGCGACACACTGGGGGAGATCGCGTGGAACAAAGCCGGGATCATGAGACCCGGCGTGCCTTGCTTCACTGTCCCGCAGCCCGAGGACGCAATGAAGGTTCTGCAAGAACGAGCAGCAGAAGCTGGCACGGAACTCACAGTCGTGAAGCGGAGTCCCGAGTTCGCCCACGACGAACTCAAACTCAGCCTCGAGGGGGACTTCCAAAAAGACAATGCCAGCCTAGCCATCGCAGCTCTAAGTTCCCATCTCAAGACACTCGGTGTTGGGGCTATATCAGAAGACTGCACCCCCCCAGAGATCCAGAGCGGACTATCCTCAACCTCGTGGCCCGGCAGATGCCAAGTCATCCACGAGAACAACATCGACTGGCTCATCGACGGCGCGCACACCGACGACAGTCTCGCCGAGGTCGCTCTCTGGTTCGCTGGGAAATGGGACGCGAAGACGCACCAACCGGCTGTGCTGATCTTTAACTCGCAGCTCCGTGATGCGCCGAAGCTGGCGCAGAAGCTGCAGAAGAGTCTGGAGGAGGCTACGGGTGGGGTGAAGGATATCTTTTGCTTGGCTGGGTTTTCGACGAATATACCGTTTGAGAGGGATGTTCCGGAGCCTAGTATAGATACGCTGCAGAGGGAGATGGCGGAGGCGTGGGTGGGTGTGGGTGGTAGTGGTGTGCCTACGGTTTATGGTAGCATTGAGTCCGCGATATGTGGTGCGAGAGGGATTGCAAAGGCTCGACACCCGGAGAAGGTGCATGTACTTGTAACAGGGAGCCTGCATCTCGTTGGTGGCTTCCTGAAGGCGATGGGGACATAGTCTGAATAGATCGTATGTTTGAATATAATGGCGTTAGCCGCTCAACCTCCGCATAGTCTCTCTTCCCTATCCTTTCACCGATTTCACATATCCCGATCAGCAGTTTGACTGGACGACTACAGGTAAGGCACTTCATTTTTCTATATTTGTACACCTTTTATTTATCATTGTACCGTACATGCCTTGTAAGCAAGCTCCCTCGCTACTACCGATGACACAAACAAATGAAATCACCTCCTATCTATTCCATCCTCAAGCTCTGAAGTCTAGCCTCCGTCGCAATGACCTGGGAAAAAATTAGTTTCTGCCTCAAAAATGTACATAGAAAGGAAGAAAAGACTCACATCAAGCGCCTGCTGCACCTCCAACACCTTGCGGGCCTCGCCCAACCAATCGCGGCTCAGCGTCTTCGCCCACCCAGTCAACCCATTCATCTCCCTAGCAGCCTCATCCAGGTTCCCCTCCTCCAGGAACGTCTCCGTCCTCGTAAGGATACTCTCCACATCATCCCCAACCGCCAACCCGCGCTTCTTAAACAGCAGCTTGCTCAGCACGTAACTCGACGCATGGCTCGCGACGCCCGCCTCATCCGGCAGCAGGGACGCCTTGCGCACCTCGCCCGCGACGCGACGAAAGCGGTCGATCAGCTGCGCGGAGGTGGGGATGCCGCGCTGGTACGCGAGCGGGTTGATGGACGCGATGGCGGCGTCGACGACGGGGTCGGCGGCGGCGATTTCCTTGAGCGCGGCGAGCTCGCGCACGAAGGGCTTGGGGGAGCGGGAGTTCTCCAGGTTGGCGCGCACGGCCTCGACGGCGACGTGGAGGTGCTGCGTCTTGAGGTTGGAGTCGACGACGTCGGTCCAGCCGGTGGTGAGCTTCTCGAGGTCGTCGACGGTCTTGGAGAGGTCGGTGAGCTTGCCGAGGCGGCTGTTGCGCTCCTCCTCGACGCGGGTGTTGACCTCGGCGACGAACTTGCGCTTCATCTCGACGGCTTGCTCGAGGAGCTCGTTGCGCAGGCGCTGCTCGTTGACGTCCTTGGCGTGGGCGATCTCGGAATGGAGGCGCTGCTCGTAGTGCTGCTGGAGCTTGGTGCGCTCTTCTTCGTACTCCTCCTTCCAGCGGCCTTCTTGCTCGTGCATCTCGCTCTCGAGGCGGCGAATGAGCTCCTTGGCGGCACGGTCAAAGTCCTCGTGGGAGGCCTTGACCTTCTCGTCGGCCTCCTTCATGGCGATGGCCTTGAGGGCCTGGACCTTGTCTCCTACCTTGGAAAGCTCGGTCCTGGCGTTCTTGATGACGGGGGAGAACTTGCTACCGGCCTTGTCGGCGTTGACAACAAGAATGATGTCGTTCAGGATCTTGACAAGATCTTGGACGACGGGGTCGTTGGCGTTCTTGATGTTAATGGGGTCGATCCTCTCAACGTACGGCGTGTAAACCGAAGGCTCATTGACCTCTGGGACCTTCTTGGTCAGCGCTGGCGCAGGCGCATCGACGACTGTTGGCTTCACTGCTGGCTCCGACGCAGATTTAGCCTCAGCAGCTGCGAGGGGTGCAGCAGCAGCTGGCGCAGTTGCATCAGCGTACTCTGGCCTCTTAACACCCTTCACGCTCTCCACCTTCTCCTTGTGCGTAGTGTCACTTGCGCCAGTCGTTGTTGTCGGCGTGGCCTTCGACACTTCAGGCTGCCGTGGCTCCTCTTCGGCTAGCTTCCACGTAACTCCGTTCGAACTCGGGATCGTGATGCGGTTTCCCAACTCTCTGTTTCTTGGCTTGTTGTTGAGAACGGGGAAGCGCTTGCGGAACTCGCGTTCCTCGAAGAAGAGGACGGCCTCCTCGCCAAAGGGAATGTACTCCGTGAAGAAGTCATGGAAGTTGTCGTTGACGCGAGAGTAGTAGACGCCACCGGCAAATCCTCCAACAGACAGTGCCAGGAGTGTGAGGAACAGCTTGCGGATTAACTTTCGCGACTTCTTTGGAGGAGGTGGTGGAGGTGTCGATGCGGCTGGAGCTGGCGTAGGCTTAATCGGCGGCACTGAACCCAGCGACGTCGGTGGAGATGACTGGACCTTGCTAGGCGATGGCGGCGTCAGAGGCACGGTCTGGGTGACCTTTCCATCCGCGCTCGGCGTCCGGGGAGTAGGCGAATTTATCGAGCTTGTGACCTTTCCTGGTGCTGGAGGAACTACGGCGTGTGTCGTGCTTCCGGACCCTGGGAGGACCACTGGCTCGGGGTCGTTTATGCTCGGTTTCTTGCTATCTGCAAAGCTCCTCTATAACACTCGTTAGTCTGGCTGCAATCACACGTCTCCGTGAAGGTACTGTTTGGGATATCTTACGGTAGAGGAGCGGCTATATACAGTCTGCGCGCCGAGCAATTGACGCTCAGCTCTGGCTGTGATGGAGCCATTGCTGAGCGCTGTTGATGCTCTAAGGGAGGCTCGCAGCATGACGTCCTGCGTTGGCGGAAGGAATGTGGTCGTGGTGTTGATGCTGGCTCGCGTGGGCTGGGAGAAAAGCTATTTGACGTTCCTTGAATTGAAGCTCGGGAAGCTGCCGGAACGCCAAGTCTTTCCGATTCCGGTTCCAAGCGGCCGCATCATCAGCTCCGCATTACCTCATATCGAGCTCAAATAACGACAATAAGAGTATTTAGAATATTAAATAGTAAAGTCACATAGTAAATCAAAATCTAGAAGGTTAAAGAATCATCTTAATCACTAAGGTCGTGTGAAGCTGCTGTATCGCCTTTATACATCCCACACGCTGCCAAAAAAAACAGCTCCACGACCCCATCTCTCGCTCCCCCCGCCACAGCGTCCAAACCCATAGGCTCTGCCCAACAAACAAAAAAGGAGAGTTCAAGGTATTAAAAGGCTAGTCCTATAGAAGCATACCAAATGCACATCGCCGCAAGTTCTGTTCTCCGGAGCCTTGAGTAATCGAGAAAGCCAGCAACCATAAACACAACGAATCTCCCACCCCCACATGCATGCCCGACATCCATTAAACCGTTATAACATACAGTAATCACTTAGCAAGAGCACCCGGCGCCCCCTTGCGTGTTGGCTGCCTCTGGGCGAAGATCTACACCAGGCCTTGGTCCTGAGCGTGGGTTCCGCGGTCCGGCCTGGTCGAGGGGAAGCTTCTTTGCGATGGCGGTGAATAGCTCCCTGACGTTCTCTGAGGTCTTTGCGGATGTCTCGAAAAAGAGAAGACCGGCCTCCTTGGCATATGCCTCGGCATCCGCGGTCTGGATTACGCGCTTGTCTTGTTGTTCGGTGACAAGATCGAGCTTGTTGCCGGCCAGGGCGATGATGATGTTCTCGTTCGCTTGTCTCTGTAACTCCTTCACCCACGCCTTTGCCTTGTCGAGGGAAGACTGTTGGGACATTTGTTAGCTTCTGTGTTAATGCGCCGTTTCTAGTAGACTCACAGCTTGTGTAATATCATAAACAACGACGGCGCAGTTAGCATTCCTGTAGTACATCGGCGCTAACGACTTGTATCTCTCCTGTCCTGCAGTATCCCAAATCTCAAACTTGACGGTGGTAGCCTCATCTAGCGAAATTGTCTGGGTCAGGAAGGCGGCTCCGATCGTTGACTCGCGGTAATCATCGAATTGATCCTGTGATAGTGTCAGCTGTGATGCAAAGGAGTTAGGGGATTTTGACCAGGGAGATTCGTACCTTGACAAAGCGGAGGACTAACGAACTCTACGGGAGAAGTGTCAGTAAATATGGGCGACGAGAAACGCCCAGAACCCTCGACATGCATACCTTTCCGACAGCAGATTCGCCTACATTTCATATTAGTACTCGTATCCGGGGACTCGGGGAGATGGCAGACATACCGAGAAGCACAAGCTTGAACTGCGCAAAGCGAGCATTGTTCGCTCTGGCGCCAGGAGGGCCTCTCGCAGCCATGTTGTGTGAGAGAGGGAGTAGATTATGGGCGGCTAGGTGATTTGATGGGCGGCCTAATGACAGCTGCCTCAAAGAAAGAAGGCTGATCAATAACGGTGAAGGACTTCGCGGGGGAGCAGTTGGAATTTGGCAGAGTTTGAGGTATAATATTCGTTCAGCTGTTCAGTGGTGTAGTGGTGCAGAAGTTGAGATGTTGTATGGTGGTTGATCTTTTGAGGGCGATGAGGGTTGAGGGTGACGACGGATGATGGGCTCGTGGGGATTCATGGACCGACGGACCTGCGTAGTACATGGCGAACCAGCCTGTTGTGGCCCAGTTACGAAGTACTACGGCGACCCTGAACCTGCTCTCGCTCTTTCTCTCGGCCCGCCACTTTCAAATTGTGGCGGAATTACATCACGTGGATGATTGACCAACCAAATCACGTGCGTCAGCACGTGCTTTTAAGATTAGGTGAGGCTGATGATCATGCTCAAGATCAAGATCACCTATATCTCTTGTCGCCGTTAAATCTCCGTATTGTTACTGTACAACTACCAGGAGGATTGGATTCTTATTCTCGCGAGTATTAAGGAGAATTGGAATGCAGGCCGATTACTGTCCTATGTTATAGTCGAAGCTCACCAACACAAAAACCTCCAGCTATCATGGCGCCTAGCTTGCCCTTCAGGGATATAAATGTCCACGCCTCGGCGTCGCATTATGCCTTCACGTCGCCCTCTTCGCCCTCGGCAGCGACTTTAGTAGTGGATCGCCCGACTGGTGATATTAGGTTGAATGATGGGAAGCTCTTGGGCGGAAAGCGTGTCTCGAGCATTGCTGGTATCCTGGGCATGATCAGGTTGCGATTGGGTTAGTTTGCGCCTCTTCTTGAAGCTGGACGTGGCTAATCATGCTTGCCCATTAGACAAATACATCATTGTTATCACAAAGGCGCAGCCCATGGGCCGACTGAAGGGGCACATGGTGTACAAAGTTATTGCGACCGAATTTCTCCCGTTGCGCGAACGACCCCTCCACGACAATGACGAAGATATCTACCTCACACTCCTCAAGGGCTTCATCAAGTCGGGGCCAATGTACTTTTCATACTCGTCCGACTTGACCAACAGCTTCCAACGCCAGGCCCAGATCGACCAGAGCCAGCCATTGTGGAAGCGGGCAGACGACCGCTTTTTCTGGAACAGGTTCATTCAGTCGGATCTGATCGCCTTCCGCTCCTCGGGAAGCAGGCAACAGATTGGCCAACAGCCGGGAGCCGACCCATTCATCCTGCCCGTCATATTTGGCATGCTTGAGATATCACCTACTACAGTCAAGGGGATGCCATTAACAATCGCCCTGATCACCCGCAGATCGAGACACCGCGCTGGGACAAGATACTTTTCAAGAGGAATTGACGAATCGGGACATGTGTCGAATTTCAACGAGACGGAGCAGATCGTTATAATCAATGAAAGCGGGGCAGGGCTGGGTGGCTTTGCCAGTGGTGGTGGCATGCAAAATGGCAAAGTAGGGGGCTCCGACGGCCGAGAGGTTCAAGTGATGTCTTACGTTCAAACTCGTGGCAGTATCCCCGTATACTGGGCGGAGGTCAACACGCTGAGTTACACACCAAAGCTCCAAGTCAGAGGCGTCGAATCGGCTGTAGGCGCAGCAAAGGCGCATTTCGATGAGCAAATCCGACTCTATGGGGACAACTACTTAGTCAACTTGGTCAACCAGAAAGGTCGCGAGAAGCGCATGAAGGAGGCTTACGAGCAAGTTGTAAAGCTCCTCCTCTCGTCACCCAAGGAGTCCCAGCAAGCCGACGAAAAGACGGACGAGAAGCTCCACTTCGTCGAATCGCGGTCAAGGAGCCAAGAATTCGACCGCCTCCACTACGTCTACTTCGACTTCCACAACGAGACCAAGGGCCTCCAATGGCACCGTGCCCAGCTGCTCCTCGACCAGCTCGAAGGCACCCTCCAGCGACAAGCCTACTTTCGCGCCACCGACATGCCCGCCGACACCACCGGCCGCCTCGACGTGCGCAGCCTACAGACCAGCATCATCCGCACAAACTGCATGGACTGTCTCGACCGCACCAACGTCGTGCAATCCATGCTCGCGCGCCACACACTAAACCGCATGCTGCGCGACCTCGGCGTGCTCCCCCGCGACGAGACCTTCAACTCGGACTCGGCATTCGAGTCGCTCTTCCGCAACATCTGGGCCGACAACGCCGATGTGGTGTCTAAGTCGTACTCTGGTACCGGGGCGCTGAAGACGGACTTCACGCGCACGGGGAACCGCACCAAGGCTGGCGCGCTGCAGGATCTGTCGAACTCGATCACGCGGTATGCGAAGAATAATTTCCTCGATGGGCCGAAGCAGGACTCGTTTGATCTGTTCTTGGGCGTGCATCTGCCTGCTACGGGGAATATTGGGAATACCTCCGTGTTTGTGGATAGGCGGCCTGTGCTCATCCAGGCTGTGCCGTACGTCCTCGCTTTTGCGGTGTTCTTCGTGCTGCTTGGTATCTTCACCATACGGTTACCCGAGAGCGCGGTGCTGCCGCTGAGGCTGTTTACGATCTTCTGGTTCATTGTGGGTGGGCTGAGCGCATCGTTCATTTTCAAGAATGGCATGCTTTATGTAAGTTCTCATCCCCTATACACTGTGCCTATGACTAGGTTCTAACTTTAACACAGGTCAACTGGCCCAAACTCATCCCCCGCCCATGGGCTACAGAGGGCTACAACGAGACCCTCAACAAGCTGCGCAAAGACAAGGTTCTCGGCGGGCTCGTAGCGCGACACGAGAGGGGCATGAGCACAGCTCGCTTCCTGAGCGCCGAGGAAGGGAAGAAGAGGATCGAATGAGCGAATCGTTTTATTGCTGTTGTTGTAAAGCGAAAGCGACATAGCCTAGAAAATGTAGAGATAAAGCGAGGAGACAGACGCTGAGCAAGACAGAAAGCTAGAATGGTACTATTAGCACACCTTATATGTGGATGGATGGGGGCGGATGTTGGCCAGACCCACGGAACACGCATACCCCTCACCAGCGATGCACAATAATGTTTTTCTTCATCTCATAATCTCACATTACCATTACTATTAAAATACATACATACAATCGTTAAAACCACCCCCTCCCATCCCCATCCAAGAACTACCTCCGTCCATCGCACCTTCACAACCAAAACAACCACCTCCCCACCCCCACCACCCCCCTAAACAGTCCCCTCACAAGCCTCAACAACACAACAACCAACCACGCCCACCACATAACCCCCACCAACACCCACTCAACCAACACCCACCCCCCCCTCCTCGCCCACCTAAACCGTCTCCGTCTCCTTCGCATCATCGCATCCATCGCCCCAGCCAGCGCCTTCGCCCTCAGCATCTGCGACCCCATCACCTCCTTCGCCAATTCATCCGCCTCGTCCGCCGCTTTCTTCCCTTGCTCGCTCAGCCCGCCCGGCCCGTCAAGCTTCTCCTGTAATAATCCTACCTGTTTCCCTAGTTCTACCATCTTCCCGTCTCTAAACGCCTCAGCGGCAGCCTCCCATGCGCGGGCCGAGCGCCGCATATCCTCCTCCAGCACACGGGCAGCGAGAAGGTGTTCCTGCGCGCGCGGTGCCCGCTCGAGCGCTAGATCCGGAACCAGCTGCGCCATGGTAGCAAAGCGGTACGCGGCTGCGTTATTGAGGTCGCGCAGCTCATTATGGCGACGCGTGAGTTCCTTCGCCTTAATCCCCGAGCTAAGAAGGAGGGCCCGCACGCGCGCGACATCCTGGCGCGTGATATGCGTTGGCTCAGCGCTGGGATCGCGCGGGCGCGAGCCGAGGCTGGGACGGCGGGCCGTGAGGGCAGCGAGGTCGGTGGCCGGGAGGAAGGTGGTGCGCATGGGGCTTATGCCGGGGATGTTGAGGATGGAGTTTAGGCGTGCGTCGGCGCTGTGGACGCGTAGGAGGCTTCCTTGTGGCGAGCGGACGCGCGAGGTGATTTTGGGGGAGGAGTCGCCGGAGGCGCGTTGGATGTCGATGCGGGGTGGTTTGAGGCGGTCGAGGCGGTCTTGACGCTGTTTGGCGTGGGCTTTTTGTTGCTGCGTTTGGGCGTCATAGTCGGGGGACATTTGGGTCGGGTTTCGGGAGTCTGTGGGACGGCCGCGGCGTTCTGTGGGGGAGATGAAGGTGGACATTTCGCCGAGAAGGGCTTTGACTTTGCGGGAGGCGGCGCTGCGGGTGCTGCCTTGGTCTGTAATTATTGAGTTTCTTCGGTTTGATTCCGATTCCTCTTTGCTTGATTCAAAGTCATTTTCGTCGATGTCCGTGTCTTCAGGGGCGGTATCACCCTGTTTATCTGATGCGCTGGTATCGTCTTTTGTCCATAAGAGGTTGCTCACCCTTGCAATAGGGTTGCGACTCTTTGGCTTCCCAGCCATATTGGGTGGGCTGCCATCTTTCGGTCTCTGTCTCGCCAGCGAGGCAGCAGATGGCGACTCGATGGTATTATCAACAGACCCCTTCGCGGGTCTTTTCCTTGGACTAAGGGAACGTATATGACCAAGTGGGGTACCCGGGCTCTCTTGCAGGCTCGGTTTTCGATCTGCATCAAGGTCGGGTTCCCCCTTTCGACGACGACGCCCCAGTGGTTCCGCGCTCCGGTCTCGAAGCCTGTTTATCTTTGAGCGAACTCGCTCAAGGGGCATTCTATGGCTGTGAGTTGGCGATAAGGGGCTGTGAGGGGGTGAAAGGTCCATGGATATGCTGGGAATGAGAGCGTTCAATAACTTTGCTGCTTTTGACTCGGGCGAGTTTGGAGCTGTCGTGTCCAAGTCGCTACTTGGCCATTCGCTGGGACGTTGGCCAGGGACCTCCGGACTGCTTCTTCCCAACGGAGCTGCTTTATCTCCATAATTTAGGGACCAGTTCTGACGATGTAACTCGGGTCTTGGCTTCCTTGCGATCAATTTTCTGGGGGATAGTGTGTCCGACTCCTCACTCTTCCTAGGGACCACAGGTGAGGGTGTCACCTCGACAGATGAAGCCGGCTTCTTTTCTTCTTCTATCTTTTCAGGGACTTCTTTCAATGATTCTTTCGATTCCTCGTCTGTTTCTTTTGCTATCATTTGTGACATCTGTTTCTCCAAGATGTCATGATTAAGGGCGTAACTATCTGCCGTGTCGCTCCGACCTCTCCGCATCTGAGCATTATAAAGGGAGTCATCGCTATCAGACGAGTAAGAATCTACCCTGCTATGGGACCTCAGTGGACCGGCGCTATCCAGCTTCCGGGCCACCTTGTGCAGTTTGTGTCGTATTTTGGGTGTGTGGTTGGTATCTGACCCATTACGGCCAGAGCGTCTGATAGAGTTAAACGCAGGCAATCTTGTTTCCACATGTAGTTTTTCATGTTTCTTCGATTTGGCGTCAGGCGACTGTGCTGATTCTTCTTCTTCAGCCTCCTGGTCAGTCGTGTGCTGCTGCTGTTCTAGGTGCCGCAGTTGCTCTTCGCTCGTCCTGGTCGGTAGCCTGACCAGGTTTGTAGAGGGTGGGAATATCTTTCTCTCTCTATTATCCTCAATCAACTTCTTATTGTCACTTTGTTCCAGCCAAACGATGTCCGCTAGCATATTCGGTGCACTGATCATCCAGTCGATCCTCGGCCGCTTCACTTTGACAGGTGGAACAGCCGGTTTACTTGGATCAGCCCCGACAGCGACATGAGCCTGACTCTCCGCCTCATCAGGCCCCAAAGGCGGCAGTTCCAAGCAGTCGCTGATTTCATAACCATCACTAGGACAATGCTTTACGACACGGTCAACCCATGCGGTAACATCGTCAACATCGCCAAAGCCCTGGGCCTCTCCATCGATCGGTTGCCTTTCTCTCGCTCTGACCTTCCTGTTGCGAATATACTGCAGCGGGTTGTAGGGCCTGCCAATCTGTTTGTTCGTTGCCGTGCTAGCTCGTGATAGCGTATTTGGCCTAACTGGAACTCCTGCTGACGTGCCAGGTGGGCTGATGGTCGGGACAGGTGTCAAACCCTGTGACTTCAACGGAGGTAGGTATTGTAGCAAGCGCCTATACTGAGCCATAAGCTCAAAGGCGTTCTTTGCCTTTTCGGCTCGAGCCAAAGTAGCTGCTGAAAACTGATACTTTTGCTCGACATCTTGAGTAAATGCAGTTTGTAAGGGGCTGGTTATAGGTTGTGCTGGCTTGGGTGGTACTCCGAATTTCTCTCCTTTGTCGGGTTTGGGAGAGATGTTGCGTGACGATCGTCTTTGAGCTTGGAGGTGCTGCCGCAGGCTTCCTCCTCCAAAGGTATCTTCAAATCCATGGATCGTTGGGGGTGATGGAACCGTCACAACCCTCCTGGCTGCTTGACGCCTACTCTCGCTCAGGTTGAGGGCGAGATTCACAATCTGTGCAGAGTCCACATCTAGCCCTGTTTGGATCGTCTTGTCAACGTTTACCTTGCCCCCATTCTCTTCTGTATTTGAGCCATCCGTATGAGCCTTCTCTCGGGCGTCTGCCTGTTTTATATGCGTTGCTGATGGGCTCCCTCCATTTGTCAAATCTGTCTTGGGTCTGACAGGAACCTTCCCCTTATGATCGCGCCGTTGTTGTCGCTTTATGGGAGGAGTAAGCTGGTTCCCTGTCGAAGCTCGCGTTTCGTGTGCCGGTGGCTCGAAAAATGTATTGTCGGAGAGGAGGAAACCGCCAGACGTTCTTCTCCTGTGGCTTCGATGGCTCCCTCTGCCATGGCTCTTCCTTCCGAGGTCGGTGAGTGAGGGGTCGACAGGCTTGTAAGTGTCGTCGGTCGACCGTTCCTGTTGTTCGCTATTTCGTGAGCTAGATTCACCAACCTCATCACTAGCTACACTGTATCTGTTCCTGGTCGCTGTGGTGCCAGGCGGGGTAGCATGGTTTCTTCGAGGATCGGACGGGCTGGTCATAGCCACTCGGCCCAAGGCGTCTGTCATTTTGTGACCAGCACATTTGGGATAACCTGTCGATCTCGAATTCGATCAGAGCATTCCGCGAGCTCAAAGGGCGTGGCTATTCATGTTCTGCGAGACTTTTGAGCAATAGGATCCATCCAGTCATTCGGGCACTGTGAAGCTTGTGAAAGCCGTAGCTGGGCAAGCTGGATCACAAGCATGTACCATGTACCACGCTAAGGGTAGGGGGTTAGCATCGATGCAGTAAGGTTAGTTTGACGGGTGCATGGGTCATGATTGCCGATAAGGGTAGCCGATACAAGCGCCCCGAAGCGGCCCGTCTGACCAACTATTTGTTCATATTTAGGACGTGGGATTCGAGCTTATATAAGAGCAGATATATACTTTACGAAAGGCTAGACACGTTGTTCGGCTCGACCCATGAGATGGTGGTGGATATTAAGAGGAGACTAAAGTGAGAGTGGCGGCTGGTATAAGTAGGGCGACAGCCATATGGAGAGCGCAACTCCCATTCAGTATTTGATACTAACTAAGCCCCAACCATCTTATTTTTCATATATATACACATTCCATGGGAAGCTTTGCCACAGAAGTTCTTACAGCCGTGGTCTTCTATATTTGCTTAACCTCCTTCCCTATCATCTCCGGCCGCTCAACCTCCCACTCATCCCTCAAAACCGCAAACAAGATATCCGCCACCAAAACACTCATCCCAAGACTCCACACCAGCGTAATAGCGTAGAAGAAGTTGGCATTCCCACTACCAGCATAGATCCACAGGTAGTAGAACGCTGGTCCCAGAGCAGTGGCGTATAATATCGTTGATGTCGCCAAATAGCTGTATCTCATCAGGGAAAACACGTGGCGGTATAATGGCACCAAGGCCAGGAAGAGCGAGGTATCAGAGATGGATGGATATGGCTTGAAGATGGCGAATAGCCCAAGCAGCGTGGTGATGACAAAGAGTGGTTGTCCGCGAAGGCGAATGGTAAGCCCCACCACGTACGATGATAGGTGCAGCCAGAAGACGCCGAGGAAGAAGGACCTGAATGAGTCGAACATTTCGATGAAGAAGTACCACCACAGTCCGACATTTGGCGTTAAGTCAGGCAGCAGAAGCTGGACGCCGTATGTCGAGGGGATAAATTCCCAGGATCCGGAGATCTGGTACGACATGAATAGTAGGGCGTAAATGGACCCTGCCACAGCGGGTACGGTGCTGAAGACGAAACTGGTCAAGGACTCTGTGACCTTTGTAGCCCGCCGCCTGTCATAGCAAAGTAGCACGAGGGATGGAAGAAGTAGGAGCGGATACATCGATAGGTATGATGCAAAGGCGAGGGCGAACATGCTTGTGAACGACGCCCCGTTTACAGCCTTCGCGATGGCGTGGAGGATGGCGCAAGTGGTGAAGACGCTCGTGGGGCGACCAATGCAGGTCGCAAGAGTAAAAGGGTTAAATAAGAAGCTATAACGCCATTATCAGCATGAAAAGTCAAGTCTGGCTGGTGAGGCGTCTTACAAGGCCGCAATCTTGGTGCTGCTCCATCTCCTCTCTTTTCGAGGGGATGTGTAGTGCTTTGTGGAAACGGATTCCCCGGATTCGGCAATCTTCATTAGAGCCATAGCACTCAGTAGATCCACCAATATGTATATTATATTCGTAAATATCGGCCATGTCGCGTAGTTTGGGAGGAGTGAGAAGAACGGCAGGAGAAGGGGCGCCTGATGGTACACCCCGCCATCGTATGGGGAGACATTGTGGTTGTAGAGAAAGAGGCCTTCTTGCACTGATAAAAGGTTAGAAACAGATATTACATCCCCATCGCAATGCTTACGTCTCTTAAAGCTGGTCACCGGCGTCGATATCTCGACTCGGCCCGTCAAGGTGTCTGGGAGAGTCGGGAATGCTGTAAAAAGGACCAGGCGCAAGACAGCCGCCGCCCCAAAGAGCGAGGCTGTCTGCTTGTCAAGCTTCATCGCATTCATCTATATGCGAATGGAGTTCCTTCACAAAGTAAAACCATTGCCGTGCTGCGCATAAATTCGTAAATAACTGACTTTAACACCTCAGTTCAAGCTCGGAGGCTCCATCGTATGCAACTGTCCTGAACCCACGATTGATATGATGTGGTCTGTGCGCGGGCGGTGAGTCGCTGAGCCAATTAGATAAGACCTTGATACAGAAAGTTGGGATTCGATTTCTTCCTCGCGAACCTTTTTGAAAAAAGACGACCTTCTCATCTCAAGTCCACAGAACAAGGTTCTACGCTCTACAAACAAATTACAGTAATAATGGCTAGAATAAAGAAGAAGGGTAAGACTTACATTTGCCATTGATTCAAAATTATTTTCTCTAACATAGCCAAACAGGAACTTCTGGCCAGGCCAAGAACTTCATCACCAGAACGCAGGCAGTCCGAAAGCTTCAAATCAGTCTCCCGGATTTTCGCAAACTCTGCATTTGGAAGGGAATCTACCCCCGCGAGCCGCGCAACAAGAAGAAGGCCTCGAGCACCTCGCACGCAGCGACCACCTTTTACTACACCAAGGACATTCAGTACCTGCTCCACGAGCCGCTCCTCCAGAAGTTCCGCGACCAGAAGGCTCTCGAGAAGAAGATTGCAAGGGCCCTCGGCAGAGGTGATGCACACAATGCTTCCAGGCTCGAGCGCAATGCGTCGAGGCCTGAGAAGACTGGCCGGGCCAAGTACACCTTGGACCATGTCATCAGAGAGCGCTACCCCACATTCATCGACGCCTTGAGAGATTTGGACGACTGCTTGTCCATGCTCTTCCTCTTTTCAAACCTCCCATCCACGGACTCCGTCCCGGCGAAGATGATTGCGAGATGCGAGAAGTTGGTCCTTGAGTTCGAGCACTACCTGATTGTGTCGCACAGCCTGCGCAAGTCGTTCCTGTCCATCAAGGGCATCTACTACCAGGCCACCATTCAAGGACAGGATATCCTCTGGTTGGTCCCATACAAGTTCAACCAGCGTGTCACTGGGGATGTCGATTTCAGGATAATGGGAACCTTTGTAGAATTCTACCAGACCCTCCTCGGATTCGTCAACTACAGGCTCTACACATCATTAGGCCTCGCCTACCCCCCCAAGTTCAACAAGGAGAGCGACGACCAAGGTGCCGAGCTTGGTGCTTTCACTCTGGAAGGAAACTCCGTTGGGCCGATTGAGCAGCCCAAGTTTGGCCTCACCAGCGAGGAGCAAAGAAACGCGAAGCCCGACGCCAAGCTCCAAGTCGAAATCGACAAGCTCATGGCCCAGCTGAACGTCCCAGAGGAGAAGGCCAAAGAATTGGCCTCCAAGGTGGACGCTGATATGGAAGATGCCGAGAGAGCAACTGACGCGCTTGACAAGTTCGTCCCAGTCGCGCCGGGCGGAGACATCCTCCCACAGCCCTCCTACTCCTCCACCGACCCCTCCACCCTCTTCTCCAACTACACATTCTTCCTCTCCCGCGAGACCCCCCGCCAACCCCTCGAGTTCATCCTGCGCGCATTCGGATGCAAGCGCATCGGATGGGACGCCGTCCTCGGCGCCGGCGCATTCACGCACAACGAGCTCGACCCGTCCATCACGCACCAGGTCGTCGACAGGCCGCCGCGCCAGGTCGAGGACGAGGATAACCAGTCCGCGCAGACGCTCGTCAAGGGCTCGAGGGTCCCGGGCCGCGTCTACGTCCAGCCGCAGTGGGTGTGGGATAGCATTAACGAGGAGGAGCTCAAGCGCGCGGATCTGTACGCGCCGGGTGCACAGCTGCCGCCGCATTTGAGTCCGTTCGTCAAGAAGGTCCGTGGAGCGTATGACCCAAGTGCGCCGCTTGATGAGCAGGAGCGTGAGAATGAGGAGTTGGAGGCTGATACCGATGATGAGGAGGATGAAGAGGATGAGGAGGAGGCGGCAGGGGAGCTTACTGCTGCTGAGGTGGCGAATATTGATATCGATGCTTCGGCTGCGGGTATGGAGGTTGCTGGCTCTGATGAGGAGGATGATGAGGAGGAGGTTGCCAAGGACGCTACGTTCGGAGGCTTCTCTGACGCAGAGGAGGACCAAGAGTCCGAGGATGAGGCAACGACTGCAGCTGTACAGAGGCAGAAGGAGCTCGAGGCCGAGATGACGGGCGTGCCGCTGAAGGAGTCCAAGGTCGACCCACGGACAAAGTCGAAGGCCGATGCGCGGAAGAAGCTGTCTAAGGCGAGGGAAGAGGAGGACGAGGAGCTGGAGCGTGGCAAGATGATGCTGAGTCGACGCAAGCGCAAGATCCTGGAGAAGATGGTGTACAGTAACAAGGAGAAGGAGAAGGAGGCCGAGGGACTGCGCGCGAAGAGACGGAAGATCGAGAAGTCGGGGAAGGGAGGAGTTAGAGAGTAGGGGGGTAGCTTTTTACGGGGTGTCACTTTTCGGGCGGCGTTGTGGAAAAATGGGACATGTTTGCGTAGCATTTGTTCGGAGATTTTACGGCTTCATGGCCTCTGTAGCTTAAAGTTGCAGTAGAATGTCCTTATTCGCAGTATGAGCCTGTCGTCGTGGTTTTGTGATTGCAAGGCTCGGTTGGAGCCATTGATGTGATATTAGCCATTGCGCCGCAAGCTCCTATGAGATAATGAACTCAATCAGGGAAGCACGATGGGAGGAAGTAGCACCTTTGTTCTACAATTGAGTTTGCAGTAGCCATGAGGAAGAGAAAGGCACGAGGCGATACCCCGTACCTTCCCTGAGCCGTTCTTCCTTGGCCGTATTTGTGCCGCCATAGAAGCTCAAACCTTCTTCAATTACGTTATTTGATTGCCTTTACTACACTAGAGTCTATAAGTCAGTATATTACGACGGATTTTTTCATTTCTTTATGTGTTTGATAGTATTTCCGAGTAAAATGCAGACTAATAATTAGTCTATAACTTAACTCGAAAATAATCCGTGAAATTATTAGCACTGTAAATTATCATAGCAACCAAAAATCGGAAATACGCCAATTACCCACAGCAGTAATTACTATATCAGCACCTGTAAATTAAATTAAATTAAATTAAATAGATAGACTCTATTAAAGTGTATTTTAGTATCAATTCCCGTCTACTACTGTCCCTGTCCGGCCGCCCACACAGCAAAATCTAGTAGCGGGGCTATAAAAAATTGATATCAAATTGATATCAATTTGACATAAAAATGTTAATAAGCTTCCACTTGACATCAAAAACAACGGCCGGGTGGTGTAGTTGGTTATCACGTTTCGTTAACATTTCAAATGTACCGAAAAGGTCCTGGGATCGAACCCCAGCCTGGTCAATTATTTTGATATTTTTTTGCATTTTTTAATTCGCCGGCGTTCTACTAGACTAGTGCGGCCGCGCCCCACCAAAGCTTCTCATGTACCCGTCTGTTGATCGTCTCCAGCATCAGCCTCATGGGATAGGAATGATGGATTCCGATACCGAGTATATAGAGTACAGGACCGATGTCTCTGAAACCGATATCGCCTCTCCCGCTCGGCCAGGCCGCTTCAAGGGCCCAAAATCAACATGGCGCACCTTCAACGAGGACGAGATTGCCCTTGCGGATTCCCTGGTCAAGCTCGAGGCGCAGGATCTATCGGCGCATTTATACAATGCGCACGTGATGAAGAAGTCTTTATATGATCCCGATCTCGTGAAAGACGTGAAGCCATGGGCTAGTAAGGTGCGTGTGATCTGCAGCGGTATTTTTTTCGAGTTACTGACAAAGAGTAGGAGCGCTGGCGCCCGGCAGAGGTGGGCGATGATGGGAAGAATTTTGTGCCGCCAGAGAGGTGGACGGCGTGGCCGCTTGAGCCGGAGATTGTGCCCAGGAGCGAGAGGCCAAAAGCAGACGAGGAGTTTACGTTGAAGAGGGTGGAGGAAGAGAAGCCGAGCCGAGAGATGGAGGAGATACTGACGGGCGTGATGCTTAAATTTGCCAAGAACACGTTTGAGAGGAGGAAGTGGGAGAGTGACGAGGCAATACAAGTTAGTAATGCCCAAGAAAGCAACAGTGATTCCCAAGAAGCCCAAGAAGAAAACCCAAAAGAAGACGACCACTACCCTACCGACTCAGAAGCACCCGCCCAACCAACCCTCTCACACCCCTCATCTTCCAAACCCATCATCTCCGCCGACGACGACCGCTCCGCGCGCCTCCTCCGCCCTACAATCCGCCACACCATCACAGGCCTCGACAACCTCCTCACCGCGCTCCAAATCTCGCGCCGCGCCTGTCTCCGCCCTGACCGCTCCCCCTCCCCCACCGCCGACCCCCTCTTCCCAACCGTCGAACCCGAAGACGTGCCCGGCACCCCCAACTCTCCGAAACGCCGCCAGGGCCGTCCGAGACGCGTAATCTCCGACCAGCCTCACCCCCTCGCGGCTGCGAGCCCGCCGAAGAAATCGAACCGCGGCCGCAAGAAGAAAGTCCATGCCTCGCTCCCGGGAGAGACGCAGACGGAGATGCTGGTGCGTATCGCGAGGGAGCAGCATAAGTCGATCCCTTTTGCAGTTGACTCGCCGCGGAGCTCGACCTCGCGCTCGACGCAGTCTCGGTCGCGGAGTCGGAGTATGAGCCGTAGCCGGAGCAGGAGTTCGAGTCGGGGGAGTGGTGCGAGGCTGGGGGTGAGGGACTGGAGTGAGGTGATTGGGGCGGCGGCGCTGGTGGGGTGGCCGGAGGAGGTGGTGGAAAGGGCGGGGAGGAGGTGCGCGACGCTGTTTGGGGAGGGGATGGGGGTTAGAGTGTTGACGGAGGGAGTGATGGGGGGGGATATGAAGGAGGAGATGTATGTGCCGGAGGAAGTTCCCGATTTTGAGGAATTGAGTGAAGAGGAGGGGGAAGAAGAGACGGTAGAGGAAGCACCGGCGCCGAGGAGAGCTAGGTCTGCTCGCCTTGAAAGCAGGACGAGGAGTCGCTCGCGCAGCCGCGAATCAAGATCGAGAATGGATGAGATGAGCGCAGTTGGGAAGTTTGGGATCTACGCGGCGTACTGCCCTCTCCAGGAGTGCGAAAGGTATCAGAGGGGATTTAATAGCGAGAGGGCAGTGAGAGATCATTTGAGGATAAATCATGGGATGGGGAAAGAGGAGATACAGAAGATGGAGGAGGACGACGATATGATTGGGGGGGTGCACAGGGACGGGTTCGGGTTGGTGGTGAAGAGGAGGCAAGGGTGGAGGGGTGTTGATGAAGGGTTGAGGAAGGAGAGGAAAAAGAGGGGGAGGGGTGGGAGTGGTGTTGTGTGACGAAAGCCTGGTTGGGGATGAGAGGGAGGAAGAGGAGACGGGGGGGTTTTGTCAAAAAGGAATATTTTTGACGTAGAAATAGACATCCATGCAGTTGGTTCAACTCACCCAAATACATATCACGCACTACTTATTGGACGAGGTGATAAAAGATACAAATCCTCGTCACAGATTTTGGTGATGGGTTCGGTCTTCCCCCTTTTGGCCAGTTTGGTCGCTGTTATAAGCAGCGTCGGACCCCTCCAGCGCTAACTTGGGCTAACTTACAAAGGATCCCTCTACCTCAAATCGCCCCAATAGCGCCAACAACAATCAACCTGCCAGCCAAGGATTGCGAAATGACAATGCCAGGAGCAAATAATAAATATATAAACCTACATAAAAGTATATATATTGTAGGCAAGCCACTGCCACTGCTGCCTCACACCCAAGTGGACCGTCTAGGCTGCTGGTCCTATCAACAATGATGCATCACGGCAGGATTGGCTTGCCTACCCCGCTGCGTATGTATAGAAGTATAAAGAGACGCCAATGTGGCGTCGTAGGTTTTATTTATTCTGGTCATCTTGACCATTCTTCTCTGTATCCTCACGCCAGAGTACACTACACGCTCCCCGCCTTCAGTCAATTTCTACAGCAATGTCGCACGAATACCCAGGCATCAATATCGACTTACGCTATTATAACAATCATGGACCCATATACCCCATTGGCGCTCATGGCAACTGCTTTGGCGCTAACTCGGAACTTTTGCCTGTCCGCGAAGTCTTCATGATGGTATTGATGGACCGCTTGTCTGACAAAGTTGGCTGGCACAAGAAGGTCTTCGACGAGGAGATTGTGAGCAAATGGCGGAAGGAGGCGCTGGAGCAACCAGAGGACAAGCTGTTCTCACAGGTAGTTGAGGCCAAAGGTGGTGGCATCAAAGTTTCCATGCCACGTACACGCATCATTTCAGAAGCTGCCTTTGACTACGTATGTGACCTATTAGTTTGGGGATTCAAGTCATTAACATCCGAATCAGTGCATCAAGGAGTTGAGGGAGAAAGCTGCCCACTTCCAGCGTACGGGCCTGATTCCGACCCTCGATTCCGCGGGCAATACGATTGTCAAGTCTGACACTGTGGTGACCCCGGAACTGCAGAAAGACCTCCGATCTGCATTTGACCAGCTAAGGGCCGACCAGGCATCTGATGTCGACTGGCATCCACGCAGTGATGAAAAGGTTCAGGACTTGGTTCACCCTTCCATGTACCCCCTTATCTTTGGTATTATATCCGATGGCCTCCAGGTCTAGCCTCAAGCTAATACGGACATGAAGGGAAATCGAACTTTTTCCAGGAAGAAGTTGTCGGGGTATCCGACGCGATCGAATTGTGGGCTGGCAAGGGCGAACCTGCCCGGGCACGCAAAAGCGATTCACTTGATCCTAACCGGTCATATGGTCAAGAAGGCGACGGTATCCCTTTGGAATTTTGGTCTGATACGTATCAATGGCTGCCAGCAAACCTGGCTTTCCAAGAAGACGGGACTGTGAAGTTCACGAGCTACATCAACAACCTCCACCCAAAGAAATATCCTAGCATCTACCGAACTATTGAGAAGCTTATTGACACAGCTATTCCTGCATGGGACCAGTTCCTCTACGTACACAGTTATAGCCCAAATAAGCCTCCCAGAGCCGGGCGGCAAGTCTCGCGCTTCTCTGTGCCTGAAAGCGGCAAGTAAGTGCCTCTAAACTGAGACTCTTTGTCCGGAATGTTAATTTCCCTTTCTTTTTTCTGTATAGTGATGAAGATGATGCATTGTGGGAGCCATACAATGCCGAAGTGCAAGCGCAGAACAATTATGAGCTTACCGAATCCGACTGGGAGCAGATTAAAGAGGAGAGAATATACAATTGGAGAGACGAAGACCGCGAGATGGGCGTAGAGAAGCCAGAGGACGGGGAAAGAGACGAGGAAGGTGAGATTTTCCCCGAGAAAGTGAGGTTGACACGAAGAAGCTAACAATTAAGCCGACGATGTGCGAGAGTTTAAATGGAAACAAATTCGTGATCCAGTGCTCCCTGAACCCGATAGTGAGGAAGAAGTCAACTATCTGTTCCAACAGAGCATTCGCGAGAAATTCAAGGACAGCGGGCTCCAAGTTATCGTCAAGATGGCTACCATTGAGCTAACGCCTGAGAAGCCCGATTTCCCCATGGGCGGCTGGCATGTAAGTTCTCTTGCAAGACAAGCCCTTGTAGCTTACTAAATGTGATGGTGTAGGTTGAAGGTCAGATGAACGAGCGTATCTGCGCTACAGCTCTGTTCTACCTTGACAGTGAGAATGTGACGCCCAGCCACCTGTCCTTCCGCATGCAAACCACGTACGACCAAGACGAACTGCAAGGTATTGCCGGCCAGAATGAATACCACTGGCTTGAGCGTGTGTATGGCACTCAGTTAAGCCAGTCGAGCGACGGAGCGAGTGCCTGTCTCCAGCACTACGGAAGTGCTGAGACCCGACAGGGGCGCCTGCTCGCCTTCCCAAACGTATTGTACGTATCTAACTCTCCCTTCCTCAAGCCAACCAATTATACAGGATCCTTTCTTGAGAATTGTCGAGCTAACAAACGCTGTCACGCAGTCACCACAGGGTCTCCCCCTTCAAACTCCAAGACCCAACCAAACCAGGCCACAGACGCTTCATCGCGCTCTGGCTCATCGACCCACACCAGCGCATCATCTCAACTGGCAACGTCCCACCACAGCAGCAAGACTGGTGGGCAGATGCCGTTTTCGGCAACGGCACAGATGCAAACACCGGCAACATGCCGCCCGAGATCCTGGAGCTGCTCGCAGAGCGCGGCCCAGCCAAGAAGTCGCAGAAACAAGATGGTGGCCAGACGCCGGGCCGCAAGCTGCCGACGGAGATTATGGAGATGGTGAGGAAGAATGGGGTTGCGACTCAGGGGCTGATGACGGTGGAGGAGGCGAGACATCATCGGGAGGAGCTGATGAAGGTTAGGAGTCGGTTCCATGAGAAGTCGGAGCAGGAGTGGGAGGGTGTTGAGTATTTCTTCTGTGAGCACTAGGTGTGTTGAACAACGGGTTTTATGGGACGTTGGAGGCTTGCTGGAAGCCAAGTATTGTTCTTGGAACTCTACCTACGCTGAAGAATATGCTAAGAAATAGGACCTGAGATTACATTTTCCGGATGAATGAATGCGTATCTATCTATATTTTCTGTCTCAAGCTGACTAAAGCAATATACAATCCATCGATCTCTCCCTTCATATGCTACTGCAATTTGGGAGCGGCGACCGTTGTAGAGTGGGCGGGGGGATGATGGATCACGGTCCAGACAAAGCGCCTATATAATATCCGTAACCCCTCCTATGCCAACCCGTACCGTATATCCATCCACACCTCAAGCTCACACTAGAACTTGCAACGTCTTTTGTTATTTGTACACTTTATTTATGTTCGTTCGTCTTGTCTACTGCCCTGAGTGTGGCACGTTTTGTTGGAGAAGGAGACGAACGTCAACAAGAGGACATAGGTGACAAAATTGGAACGACAGCAGCATGTTTATAGGACAGCAGCAGGTTCAGTCGAGGCACTGTTAACCAACAGATCCATTGCCGCCTCACCTGCGACGACTGGGTTGCTACCTCCTGTGTCCTGGCTTTGATTGGCGGCTCAGCATGCTGCTGCCCTATACGACTGAGTTAAGGATGAAGGTGCGGGAAGGAGTAAAGATTTGCAGAGTCCGCTATATAAATCAACTTAATTCGCAAAGTGTCGGAAGGGAACTGTGAAAAAAGAAATCAACAATAGCACCCAAGCAGACATCTATAACAGCCGAGAAACTATATAGATTATATATGTACCTGGAACAAATGATGTATATTCTGTACGACAGTAACTATTCCAAACAGCCGCCGAACGCCGCCCATGCTCTCCCACCCAGCCACTTACATACAAACTCTCCTATCCTATCTACCTCTTCTCCACAAGCAAAACATGCATAGCCACATAAGCCAGCACCACAAAGACCGCCGCAAACGCGCCCAACTTCGACACATCCGACCAAAGCGCCATATTATCGAATCCAAAACTACTCAAGATAGTCGCGCCGGGCACCTCAATGCTGAGCCCGAACTTCATATCGCGCAGCGTCAACATCGCCACCTCGTTGACGATCAAACTTTCAAAGCCGTAGTGGAAGATACTCAGCGACTGCAGCCATAGCGCCGCCTTGGGAATCGCATCGTGATTGAGCAACAGGCCTGCGAAGAGCAAGCTGAACAACATGACGAGACTGCCGATCAAGTTCGCGACGCCGTGGTCCTTGCACACGATGCCGATGAAGAGACAGATGGCGGCGGCGGCGAGGTTGAAGAGCACGAGGATGAGGAGGAAGGGGAGGAAGTGCGCCATGTCGGGCCATAACCCGGTCATGGGGTAGACGATGCTGCCCATGATTATTGGAGGAATGATGCGCAGAGGGATGATGTCGAAGGCGACTTTGGCGAGGAAGTACGTGATGGGGGAATAGTATCCGTTGGCGCGCTCACGGACGAAGAGGAGGCGCTCCGAGGCGAATACGGTAAGAGATGTGAGGGTGCTGAAGCCGAAGAGGGCCAACAGGAAGAAGAACAGTCCGAGGCGATTCTGGAAGCCGGGGATATCATCTGTAAGACCATAGAAGAGGAAGCCGGAGAGGACGGCGAGAAGGATCGCGATAGCGTAGTGCGTGAGCATCAGCATTGGGTTCCGGTAGAGATTGCGCCATGTGCGTTGAGAGAGGATTGCGAATTGCCTCCAGTATCCGATGCGGGCGTAGCCTCTGCCCATCGTGTTGCCGTTGGGAGATGCCGTGCCGCTACCCTCAGAAAAGCCGTTCGACCGACCATTCGCTTCCTGTGCATTCGAGACGGTAGTTCGGATGTCCTCGCGAATCTCACCAGCTATGCTAGAGTGTGCATAAGAGGAGACCAATAAGTCCAACGCAGTATTTTGGCCCGAAGATAGAGGGGGTAGGTCGTGATCTTCCAGTACGGTCGACGGCACATTTGTCAATAGAACCGTTTCCGTGGTCTTTTTCCGTGTGAACAACCCGCGTTCTTGCCTCTTCTTGATAGAATCCCTACGGTGACGGTTTGGCCGCAGTAGCGACTCGCCTGCGCTATCGCCATCGTCGAGGCTTTCACGGACACTAGCAATTGACTTGACGGCTCTTGTGCTGCTTGGTCCTGTGCTTCTATCATCGCTGTTGGGTTGGCTATCATCTTCTTCTGAGGGTGTGCCCGGACTCTCCACATGCATTGTCAGATCAACCAAATAGTCGGCAATGTTGAAACCCGGTGGACACGAATATCCGATGCTGTCGAAGTAGTTCTGGCAGAGCGCAAATTCTCCGGAGTAGACTGTCTTTCCTTTTGCTAATAGAACCAGTTGGTCGAACAGGGCTACGATATTAGACCTAGGTTGATGAATAGTGAAAATCACCGTCCGGTTGTATGTCTTGGCCAGCGTAACAAGGCATTCAATAACGTTAAAAGCATTAAAGGCGTCAAGACCACTCGTAGGCTCATCCAGAAACAAAATGCTGGGGCTTGTAACCAATTCGCAGGCGATCCCAACTCGGCGCTTCTCTCCACCTGAGATGCCGCGACCGTTCCCCTCTTCGGATCCAATCAGAGAGTCCTTAATATGGGAAATGCCAAGCTGCTTCTCTACTTCGTATACTCGGAGCTCTTTCGCCGCATGGCCCATGTCGCGGGGTAGCCGGAGCAAGGCGCTTGTCATGATTGTCTCGTGAACTGTCAAAGTCGGCAACATCGTATCCTCTTGGTCGACAAAGCCGATAACGTTCTTGTAGTCCGAATTGCTAACCTTCTCTCCGTTCACATAGAAATTGCCTTCAACAGAACCACGCTTGTTTTTCCGGGCGAGGATATCGAGGAATGTAGTCTTACCCGCTCCCGAAGCACCCATGATGGCCATGATCTGGCCTGGGCGGGCTACACCTTGAATGCGATCCAAGATTACTTTGTCATTGAGAGCATATGAAACGTTCTCAAAATAAAGCGACGCTGGCTTATGATCCGCCATGAGTTTGAGATTCTCATCGTCTGAATCGTCCAGGCTAACTGGCTTATACGCGAACTTTCGGCGTCCCAAATACCAGACCAACAGGATAACTGCCACGACGAATAACGATGACATACCAATAACCCCTGCGATCAATGGAGTGTTGATTTTCTTGATAGGTCGCTCATATCCTGGGACTTCTGTTTCATATAGACACTCTCCCGATCGACACTCAAGGGTGATGCTTTTGTCGCCGAACATCTGCTGGATCAAGTCGTTCATAGCGGGCTCTTGGAAGGCGCATTTATTCGTTCCTCCACTTTGTTGCAGACACTCAAATGTTGCAGGGCCCTTAATTTCCTCCGTGAGAAAGTCCGATATATCGACGGATCCATTTTCTCCACACAACATTCTGTCGGGAATGCATTTGCATTGAATGTCTTCGCATTTATAATTCGTGCTGTTGCGCTCGTAGGTGTTATCGGAGCCTGAAATGCAGCCGCCGAGAGAGCAGTAGAATGATTCCCTCTGTTGAACCCAGACTTCGTCATATGTTAGCAATGATCTCCTGAGATTGGTGGGGGGGGTGGCATACATTGGAAATCGCACTTCTTGTCGCTTGCGTCGCACGTAAAAGTGACCTGCGGTACCTTCTCATTGAGAAGATCCCGAATCTTTTTGTTTGTAACATCGCACATCTGGTAATTCTCCTTGACGACCTCTCCATTTTGATAGCATACTCCGCCAGTATTCTCGGGCATCAGTGCATTGCATGCTTGGTTCGTAGTGCAGACATTGCAGTTTATGCCGCCCCAGCCTTCCTTGCAGTCGCACTTATCACCTTGTCGCATTGGTCGCTCTTTTCCATCTGCCAACGATCCGCATACTGTAATAGTCATAGAAATCAGCAATGTTCACTGCTCGCGAGAGTGAGGGGCCGTACCTGGTTGCATGCAGTCCTCTCCGCCAAACCCGGCAGGACAGCTGCACTTTCCATCATATTGCTGGCATTCGGCAAATTGACCACAGGTGAAAGCTGGCAATAGACAATTGAAGCTATATCCATTAGCTACCATCACTGCAACTATCGTTCGCCGAATGCTTCTCGGAGCGGAGACAGCACATACCATGGAGGACAATCACCCCGGCCGTCCATCAACGCATTACGCGCACGCATCATGTCGATGTAAGTGAAGTTCTCAGAGGCCAGGGCTCCCACCGATAACGAAAGCACGGCAGCCAGCGCCTGGCCAATATGTAATCCACGCATCGTGGGCGGTTATCGAGATGTCGCCCCTCAACAGATTGGTAGCCCAAGTGCCTTGCGAGGCCAACCACCACGGGTAATCTAGGCTGATTTGCGCCCGAAGCTCAACTCAGAGAGGATGTACCGCAAATAATAAAGAGAGTGTGTAGAGAAGAGCATATATATATAGTCAAGCAGACATCATCCGAAGAAACGATTAAGGAGGACAGTCGTGCGGATAAAGAGCGTCGTTGTGACGCTTCGGCTCCAGGTCGTCGAATGATGATGGATGGAATGGGGCCGGGTTGCGACCTTGGCCACCCCCGCTAAAGTGAGACCCCTGTATTTCCCCACGTTCGGCGGCCGCAGACGGGAGGGGAAAATCACGTGCATGATACTGTAGGTCGTCAGTGAAGTGAGGGGATGATGCAGATATATGCACGCAATATTGGCGAATAGAATCTGTTTTGAGGTCAAAGCTGATCTAAGAAGAAACTATGGTCAAGTTAGAAGAGTTTGGCATCGAACAGGTTTGGCCCCGAACATCCAGACATTCCCCAAATCCGCTCACCATGGACTAACCATATTTCAGTGGATGGACAAGTATGAGACCACGCCTGACGTCCTCAATATCGCCGAGACATGCGCCACTTCTGTCTCCATAGACGAGCTTGTTGCACTATGTGAAGACAAAAAAGCCCCTGGTCCTCTGGACACATCTGCCACCCTTACCTATGGAGCGATCCGCGGATCGCACAAGCTTCGCCAACGGCTGGCTGACTTGTATTCTGTGAGAGCTGCGTCGCCCATGTCGCTAGAGAGTATCCTGATTACTCCCGGAGCTATATCCGCCAACTTTCTTGTCCTATACAAGCTCGTCGGGCCTGAAGACCATGTTATCTGCATGTACCCCACATACCAGCAGCTGTATTCTGTGCCAGAAAGCCTGGGCGCCGAAGTCTCCCTGTGGAAGCTTACACAGGAGAAGAACTACGTCCCTGATGTGGCCGAACTGGAGCAATTGGTGAAGCCAAACACCAAGCTCATCATAATCAACAACCCGAACAACCCAACCGGCGCCGTCATCCGCAAGTCTGCGCTTCTAGCGATTATCTCGTTTGCCCGCGAGAGAGATATCACCATCCTTTCGGACGAAGTGTATCGCCCTCTCTTCCATGGTATCTCGCCTGTGGATGATGAGTACCCACCATCTCTCATATCAATGGGATATGACAAGGCCATTGTCACTGGCTCCATGTCAAAGGCGTATGCACTGGCTGGTATCCGCACCGGCTGGATAGCCTGCCGCAACCCTGAAATCATCGAGGCATTGGCCAGTGCCAGGGATTACACAACGATATCTGTGTCTCAGCTCGATGATCAAGTGGCAAGTTATGCCTTGTCAGCGAACGTCATACACGCATTGCTCGCAAGGAACATAAACCTTGCCAAAACAAACGTGGCTCTGGTCGAGAAGTTTGTGAACGATCACAGCTCAGTGTGCTCCTGGGTGAAGCCGTTAGCAGGGACAACTGCCTTCATCCAATTCAAGAAGAATGGCGAGCCAGTGGACGATGTGGCGTTTTGCTTGGACGTACTGGAGAAGACCAAGGCCATGATACTGCCTGGCTCCAAGGGGTTTGGACACGAGAGGGGCTTCGACTATAAGGGATATGTCAGAATTGGCTACGCCTGCCAGACTGCCGTCTTGAAGGAGGCTTTGGAGAGGATGTCAAAGTATGTAACTGAGGAGCTGGTAGGAGGTACATTCCCAAGTGGGCAGCTACCCCTTAGATGAGAATATTCAAAAGAATGAAGCTCATAATCACCCCAAGGCCGGTGTCCCCCACGTCGTAAGCTTGAAAGTGTTTATGGTGCCCTGCTTCATATTGATCTCTTATCGTGCTGTCTGTTATCGATAACAATTAATCCTACCTTGATGGTAGGACTGCCCACACATGTGAAGTTGATCTCGCGTAGCAACTTTGGCCTTTGTTATTCCTCTCCCTTCTTATTTTCCTCCTTTTCACAACAAAAATCATCATTCTATACTATGAATAACACTATACTTTTATACTATACTTTTATATGTATTACGGATTATTCAAAAGCAACGGTGATATGAACATCGTTTGGTCAATCCCAAAGTAGGTTCTCCATCCTCGGTGTCTCCATAACACATGCAGTCTTCTAGAATTTGGATCCGGGACAGAGCTGACTTAATTCATTTTGCTCCAGAATACCGCGCTCAGATCCGAAGACATCTGTGATGAGAACCACTCGCCATGGCGAGAAGGCTGCATCGGTTGGCCCGTAAGTCATCTCACTCTTCATTTCCACCCTTTGTCCCTGCCGTGCCTCGAACAGCCAGACCTCAGGGACCACATGTGAACCTATGACCGGACTGGACCTTGTTTTGTGGGTTCTGCTGGCATCTTCGATCCTCGATTTCCTATGATCTCTGTTTGAAAGCAAGCCACTGACACTCATACAGGCTGGCGGGCGGCATTCTCCCGTCTTGCGATACCCCTGCTGGCAGGGGAAAGAACAACTGCCGCCATCAGCATCGCCATGGTCACCAAATCTCCCACGAATGCCTGGACAAGCGGCACCCTGGATCCAGCGCCGAGGCCAAACGCCCCTCGGGGGGTGGAACGCGCGAGTCACTGGGGTGGGATCTCCGTGACTCGCGCGCTCAACGTCCGCCACTCTGTCACCCGCTGATTAAGAATGAAGAATCAGCGGGTGATGAGGATGCATACGAGACTGGTTAATGGGTGGGGGATGTCGCGGTAACGCTCGAGGCAAACTGGCAATCCACGTCTTGTCGCCAGTTTATAAGACCTTGACCGAGCGGTGCCCCTGTGATCCCACTCTCCGTGAAGTCATGAACCTAGCGGTGCCCCTGTGATCCCACTCTCCGTGAAGTCATGAACCTCCGGGGCATGGATCTACGCGACATAGATCTTACGGAGGGTGGCGCGCATCCCTTGTAAGTTCTTCCCCTTGGTCCTTCTAGTTGTATGTACTGAATGATGTTTGATCTAGGCCAGTATCGCTACACTCTACTGCCGCAAGCTCCACACAGGGTTGCGGAGCTTGCGGTTAGGAAAGCGCCACCGGGGACGTAAGTGCCTTCTTAAGTCCAAAACGACTTCTTTCCACATATGCTTTGTCATGGTGAGGAGCTAACCGTATTTTAGTTTTTTTTGGTTCCTCGGAGACAATGTCGAAATCTTCCGAGGGATAAGAAGATTTGCCGCAAAATACGGGCTTGGGTGTTGTTTCTTGCCATCTTCAACGTAAGTTAGTATCTTCATGATATTGGATTCTTGCTACCGCAATGTTTCACCCCCTGAATTTCCTTCTATGGATCTGTCTTGTGTGGACTGTTGAAGCTGGCTGTTGGCGTTGCCATGCAGCCTGCTGCTGTCGACACATTCTTGCCGCCAACCCCCTTTCTGTTACCGGCGGCGTCCTCAGGCGACGCCAATGACAGCCTTTGTTCTTGCTGCACACCCCCTTATAGCTGCCAGCATTCTCAGGCGCTGCCGATGATAGCCTTTGGTTTTTGGTATAAAGCAACCAACCCTCTATTCTTCCTCCTTTTGTCACAACACATCCAGGCCATCAACCCACAGCACGCACGGCACGCTCGAGCTCTTTTACACACAGTCACCACAATATTCGTCCACGCTGAGCATCTTCACATTCCTTGGGCATTTACTTCATCCACCACAGGCTATCAAACATTCCTTGAGCCTTTGCTTCATCAACCACGACCAAACCCTCCTTGACATTCTGCTTCATCCGCCACGATCAACCTTCCCGATCCTTTGCTTCGTCCACGACGAACTTTCAAATATTCCCAAGACTTTGCCCCGTCCACAGCGAGCCTTCAAGCCTTCCTCGAGCTTCACCACTAACGAGCAGTCCATTCGTGTTCGAAGTGCGTTTCACACAAATTTATTCTGCAGACATTCTTTTCCTTTCTTGATCATGCGTCATATTTCCTTTATCCTTTGTACTAGAGTTAGCTAACGTTTTCTGCAATCAAGATGTCAACAGACAAAATGGTGTCGCCAGCCGGCGTCTGCTGGACGTTGGCAGACGACTTTTCCCTATGGTGGGCAGAGGTATGTTCTTCCACATTTACATGTCACTGTCACCGTGCATTAAACTGACTTGATTAAGGGGGAGGTAGTTACGGGAAAGGAGAAGGGAGTGGGACCGGTGACACCGATTTTACCTGAACCGACGGCTGGGGCGGCACCGACTCCTGGTCCGATGGAGCAGGTGACATGCCCCTCCCTGGTGGAGGAGGCCTCCCAAGCCGCCGTCACCGCGCAAACTTCCGGTTCGTCGAGAGCTTCCGGTTCGTCGCTTTTCTCGATCCGCCCATCTCCCAAGGGTGGCATGGGTGCTTTCGCACTCTGGGACATTCCGGAGTCCACCGTCATCATGAAAGAGCTGGCTCTATTTCTGGCGACGGATGGCAAGGGACACTTGGCAGAGGAATTAGAGAAACTCAGCGCGGAGGAAAGAACGGAGTTTTCAAAACTCGCGTGTTACGAGCTGCTGGACCGAGACCGGGACATTGCCATCTTCAAGACGAATCGGTATGTTTGATTTACTTTTTTTTCCCCAGGACGTTCCCCTGGTTTGATCAGACTTATCGCCTTCACACCAACCCTTACTTGTGCTCGTGTATCTTTTCATACCTTGCTTCGAGATCGCAAACGAAGGAACGCATCATATACTGACTATGCTCTAGATTCCGAGCCGGATCTTCATCTGGCATCTTCCTGGTCGCGTCGCGCTTTAATCACTCATGCAACCCGGTAATTCGCTACAGCTACGACAACAGCAACCGCGAGCTGATCTTTGCGACGAAACGCGACGTCAAAGAAGGCGAAGAGCTCACGATCATGTACACGCCCAACTCGCAACACCTCAGCATGGATTACGGCTTCCTTTGTGACTGCGGGGTGTGTGATCCACCTCTCAAGGTGCCGGTGTACTATGATCGATGGGCAGACAAAGTGCCACACGAAACCGACGACTGGTGAAGGGTGGAGCGGTGGGTGGGAAGGGTGCTGAGCGATGGAGATTCTTGGGAAGTGGAAACGTTGGCCGTTAGGAATGATCGAGAGGTCAGGAGGATGTGCAAACGAGATGGTTTTACTTGGAGGCGGGAGGAGTGACTAAGAGGTCAGGAGGAAGTGCAAACAAAAGGTTTTACTCGGAGGTGAAGTTTTGTGATGGAAGGGCGCGCGATGGGGGTTGGTAAATGTGTACAATAGTGAGCACATAGAAATTTCGCGATCAATCGAAGCTTTTTTTCTTTCTTGAACCAGAAGGCAATCATGTGGATAGAAGCCAGCTCTTTCGACGACATGTCCGCATCTTTCTTTGGCAGGGGGGGGAAGCTTGTTTGTCTCTGTACAGTTGCTATTTGAGGCTAATGCCAGATCTTCAAACTCTCATATGTTCTTCTGAATCAGTGCGAATGAATATGTGCATGGCTAAAAGTATTCCATTGTTGGTATACAAGACGATATTGGTACAAAGCATTTCCCCATATACAATACAACCCTCTAATCCATCTTTCCTCCAGTCAACTCCTCCGCAATCCTCACCATCCTCTTGCCCGTCACCTTCGCCGGAGTCTGATAGTAATCCACAGCCTTCTTCTGTGTATTGCTGACCTCGCTCAGCATACCAAAGACCGTCATTGGCGATCCTTCGGCATCCCAAATATTCGTCTCGTTCTCCCTTCCGTGAACATGTGCAAACGGCCTCTCTGTGAAGATCTTGTCGATCTCGGCATCCAGCTCCTTCTCCGTGGTGATGAAGGAGCGTGCATGCATGTATAACGAGTGCAACGAGTCGCGGCGTGCCTCCTCCTGGGCCTTGACCTTCGCAGCCACCCTCTCCGCGGACGCAGCAATGCGAGCCTCTCTGTTCGGGTCGGGGAGGGCACCGTGTTGGAACGTGGCCATGGCGGCTGTGATGGTGGGTAAAGTGAGACGGTCAGATTCTCGCTGGGGTGCATCAACAAGGCGTTGGTTGTTCTCTCGGGCAATGCTGCTCTTGCGCCCAACCTGGGCATCCTTCTTCACCTTGCGGTCGTGAAGCTTGGTCAATCCCTCTCGCAGATTCTCACGCCGGGATGCGGCCATGCGTCGTTTCCACGCCGTGTATTCGGAAGGGGTCTTGGTGAGCTGGTGGGCGGCGGTTGGCTCGAAGGTGGCGCGGGCGATGTATTGAGGGGAGGACTTGTCGCCGGCTCGTTTGGGGAAGACGTTTCGGGGAACTGGGAGGACACCCTTGACATCGACATGCTTTTTGGCGAAGCGTTGCCGGGGAAGGGGGATCTCGATAAATTTTGGAGATTCAGGGCCAATGGCCTGGCACTGGGACGAGGAGGTGAAAGTGCGCGCTGCGGATTTGAAGCATAGCGATTGCTTCCCACGAGCTAAGCTGCCCAGCGAGCTGGAGGGGAGTGACGGCGGCATTTTCCTCGCTATTGAGGTTCGTAGTCTAAATTCCGAAGACGAGCGAGCGTCCAGCGAGGTTTGGATTTCCTTAGCGTGTGGCTCATGCTTTGATGTCTTGGCGCGAGATATCAGCCACTTTTTGCCGATAAACTTTTCTGCCAATCTGGAGAGGGACCATTTCTTCTTCATACCAAGAACATTTCCCCCATATCAACCACAATTAGAGGATATAAATCCTCGTCGTCGCTATGGGTACCGGAAAGAAAGAAGCGACCAGGAAGGTCCGCCAGGGAAAGGTCGGAGATGGCATGGAAAACGTCAAGGTCAAGGGCGAGAATTTTTATCGGTATGTTGTACCATCAAGGCGCAATCCGCCGACAACCACACCGTTCAAGAGCCAGAACTAACGTCGCACAGTACTGGTAAACAAGCCAAGGTGTTGAAGATCTTTACTGGTGGCAAGGAGAGGAGAAACGCTGCTGGAAAAATCACACAATCTGCCGTATTCCAAGGCCGTGAAGTCCCAGCCGCCCGCATTGAGCCGAACAGGAAATGGTTCACAAACTCGAGAGTTATCAGCCAGGATGCGCTTTCTTCCTTCCGCGATGCTATGGCAGAGAGAGCAGCGGATCCATACACTGTACTGCTGAAGACGAACAAGCTACCGATGACCTTGATCAGAGATGGAGAGGGCAAGAACGGCATCAAGCAACACCAAGCGAAAATTGCGGTAGAAGCTTCACCTTTCAGCGATACCTTCGGACCGAAATCACAGCGTAAGCGTGTTAAGCTCAGCGTCAACTCACTCGCGGATCTTGCGGACGATAGTGTCAAGAGCCACGATACATACCTGGACAGGCTTGAGCAAGCCAAGCTTCTGAGCGGCAATCCTGAGGAAAAAGAGACTGTTGGAGAGGCAGCACCTGAAGATTACGGCTACGTCTCAAGCGCAAGGGAAGCTATCTTCAGCAAGGGACAGAGCAAACGTATTTGGAACGAGCTTTACAAGGTTATCGATTCTTCTGATGTTGTTATCCACGTTCTGGATGCGAGAGACCCGCTGGGCACGAGGTGTCGCAGTGTCGAGAAATACATCAAGGAGGAGGCACCGCACAAGCATCTCATCTTCGTTCTCAACAAGTGCGATTTAGTACCTACTGGCGTTGCTGTAAGTTCACCCATTTTTTCAAGCCATTTCTTAAGTTTCCTGCATTTCCATCGTTAAGTCAAGACATCTTCTGCATATTATGTGCTCCTCACAATGGAAGTTTGCCTGTTACAACTTTGGTATATTGACTCCATTCTCGCCGCTCTTGATCCAAGAATCTTGACGACTGGGCCTTGTGTCCGGCAGTCTCGATTTGAGGACGGATCTCGAGTAGACAGCGGCCCGTCTTGGGACGCCTGTCGTAAAGAGTTTGGTTCTGTTTCGTTTGAGTTGAAGGCCGCTCCCACTCTTATGGTGGCTTGTAGCAGCCTTCTTAGTAATGATTCATACATGCTTCCTAAAAATAACATATCTTGTCGCATAACTGACATTTATATTCAGGCTGCCTGGGTCCGCTCATTATCGAAAGATTACCCCACCCTCGCCTTCCACGCCTCCATCACCAACTCCTTCGGCAAGGGCTCCCTCATCCAACTCCTCCGCCAATTCTCCAGCCTCCACTCCGACCGCAAGCAAGTCTCGGTCGGCTTCATCGGCTACCCCAACACCGGCAAATCCTCCATCATCAACACCCTCCGCAACAAGAAAGTCTGCACCGTCGCTCCCATCCCCGGAGAGACCAAGATCTGGCAGTACATCACCCTCATGAAGCGCATCTACCTGATCGACTGTCCCGGTGTCGTCCCTCCCTCCTCATCCGACACCCCGCAGGATATTCTCCTCCGCGGTGTCGTGCGTGTCGAGAACGTCGAGAACCCCGAGCAGTACATCCCCGCCGTCCTGGCGAAGACCAAGCCGCAGCACATCGAGCGCACCTACGCGCTGCGCGGCTACAAGGACCACATTGAGTTCCTAGAGCTGCTCGCTCGCAAGGGTGGACGTCTGTTGCACGGTGGCGAGCCGGATGTGGATGGTGTTGCCAAGATGGTGCTGAATGATTTCCTGCGCGGGAAGATTCCGTGGTTCACCCCGCCGCCGCTTTTGGAGGGCGCGGAGGCGGATGTTAAGGGTGTGGAGGGCCGGATGGGGAAGTTGGGCGAGATGGGCAAGAAGAGGAAGAGAGAGGATGCTGAGTCCACTGTTGCGGAGTCGGAGGCGGCTGATACTTCTATGGCTGATGTGACTGGTGACGATTTTGAGGGCTTTGGCTCGGACGGTGGCGCAGACCTGTCGGATGATGGGATACCGGATAGTGATTCCGAGGTTGAAGGCGGTGCGGAACTTGAGGATGATGACGAGGATGAGGTGGATGAGGTGGATGACGAGGAGGCGGACGAAGAAGAAGAGGAGGAGGACGAAGAGGATTTAGAAGATGCGATTGCACAGCAGATTCGCGAGACGATAAAAAGCAATCCGAAAACTAGGGGTACGGTGAAGATACCGACGCCGAAAAAGGAGCGGCAGACGAAGCGTTAAGATATGTATATAGTTGAAGATAAACAATGAATAATGTCAAAAGCGCTTCATTCTTTCAATCACAAGAACTGTACCAAAAACCGAGCAATGTAATCAATTTGCAGTGTGTTGAGAGTCTAGTAGTCTACAGTATGACTGGCTATATACAACTATATCCCCCCCACATCTATATATGCAGGCCACAGTTATATTCCAAGTCAATCATACAATCATCAGTCGTTGCCCTAAGGCGTCTCCGGTCCTTTATTTTCTATTATTTTGACTCCGACCCCTCTTCTTTGGTATCCACATCCACCACCGGTGTCGGTGGCGCCCTCACAAGGACCTTTTGCTCCTCGCCCATAACCACTGGTATAGTAAGTATCATCCCATCTTACAGAGTCTTCAAACCGGGGGGGGGGGGAACTCACATCGCTGCCATAGCACATAGCTCGTGACAATCGCAATCGGCAACGCCACAATAACCATCGTCACCTTCCTCGCCACAGGCTTATACCCCTTGGGCAACTGCTGCTGCCCTCCTGCCGACGGCCGCGCCCCCGCCGGCTTACTGATATTATCCACAATCTGCGCATTCAGCGCACCCAGCGGTATCTTCGGCGCCGGCGGCTTCGTGGGCGGCGCGGGCTTAGGAGGCGGCGTTTTGGCGACCGTTTTGGCCGGGGGCTTGGGAGTTGAGGTTTTGGAGGGAGTGCGCGGGTGGGAGACGGGCTTAGTGGAGGGAGCGGGTTTCGGGGCTGGAGAGGCTTTGGTGGAGAGTTGGCGGACAGCGGTGAGGATTGCGGAGGGGCGGTGCTGTGGTGTTGGCGAGGTGGTTGGGCGGGGTGAAGGAGGGGGGACGCTGGTGGCCTGATTTGACGGCTCAATGGATTCTGGAATTGGAGATGGCGCCGGGGCGGCAGCCGTGGGCTGGATTCGGGTTGGGGGCATGGCGACCTGGGGTGGGGGTGTTTCTGGGGCTGGAGTCTTCGATTTCCTTGTTCGTGGTTTGGCGGGCTCTGTTGGGGATGTCTTCGGGGCGGTTTTGCGTTCAGTCGTGGTTTTGGCGGGAGCAGGCGAGGATGGGGCGGCGGTCTCTGGGAGGGGGTTCTTCCGGGGACGACCTCGTTTCTTCGCAACTGTTTGTTCGGTCGACATTGGCGCGATTGGGGAGAGACAAGTTGTGATTATGATGGGGTGAGTCGTGGTTGTCTTGGATTTTTCTGGGGAGTTTAGACGCGTACCTCTGGTGGGTTAGACGTTAGACGCGTTTTTCGCGTTCGTTGGTAATTTATAATTTACCTTGCGGGGTTGATGGGAGTAACGACTGGGATGTTGAAACGCAACTACGATAGAGTAATGATATCGATGAGTGCTATACTAAAATATGTCACGAAGCCTCATATCTAACAAAGTTCGTGTTTCCAACAAAGCCAGTGAGGGGGTTTTCGCTGACGGGAAATGACACACAGGACATTTTACAACCTTCATTAGATCGATTGGTTATTGAAGTTACATTATTTCACTGGCTAACTTGGATCGTCTCCTAATAGCCGGGCCGTAGAGGATGAGAACCCATGGGACAAGAGCCAGGAGAATTGCCTGCGACATTAAATTAGCATTTGTCAACATCAAACAGTGAGAACGGAATCAAACTCACAATCCCACCCAGCATGCTACACGCGCCGCCAATCCCCATCCCCTCGAACAACGCCGTCGTCACAAGCGGAAACACCGCACCCAGCATATTCCGACAGAAGCTCTGCGCCGCTAGCGCACTACTCGCATACTTATGATACACGTCGGCCAGATAATTAAACGCGGCGAGGTACATGGCATAAATGCCCATGGTCGAGATCGTGATGCCGATGCACGGCACGAACCAGTGGATTCCCGGGTTTGCTGTCCATCCTAGCCAGAACAATCCTATCGGTAGGAGCGGGGAATGCAGACACGTGATGGCGAGGCGGATTTCGGGGTCTGCTTGCGTGGGAGGTGGGTGGCCGGGGCGAAGGCGCGCGAAGAAGCGGGCTAGGGCGAGGGCGTGCGAATCTTGGACGATGGCGAGGTAGGAGGCAAGGATTCCGCCGATGGACATGGCAGCAAAGACAGCACCGCATTCTTGGAGGTTGAAGGAGTAGGTTGTCCGGAAGATTAGTGGGAGAGACGCGAAGGTCAGGTAGAGGACAGCCCACGCGAATGACACCCATAGCGAAAAGAAGAAGACGACTGGTTCGGTCGCGAGGAGGTCTGGGTTGTTAGTTGGATATTGTAGATGGAACAGAAAGACGGCAAGGGTCAGGATGACATACGAATGGGTCGCCAAACGGAGATCTTGATCATCTTCATGAGCGATTCGCGCTCTTCATCCGCCTTAACACGCCATCTGATACGCTGGGGGACCTCGCGATTACCACTCTCATCAGGCATATCAAACCCCACATAACCGGCTGCCTCTCTCGCCTCATACCACTTATTCAGCGCCGCCGCCTTCTTACTCAACAGCACGCTCCCTCGCGACTCGTTCAGAAACAAAATAACGGCCAACACCACAACGCCACACATGATAGATTGTACCCAGAACACCCACCGCCAGGGCAGGTGCTGTGCAATCGCACTTGCAATAAGCGGCCCCATTCCGGTTCCGAATATCGCAGCGCCGGCGAACAACGCCATAGGGGTGTTGCGCTCATTGGAGCTGTACAGGTCGCTGATAACGCCACCGATCATGGACGAGAAGACAGATGAGCCGCAGCCGACAAGAAAACGCATAACAATCATCCCCGCGAGACTGGGCGCCAGCGCGCACGCAATTTGGAAAGCTTCGAACACGATCCCAGCGACGACGAAAACGGGGTAGCGGCCCTGGATCTCGGAGAGGGGGGCTAGGACCATGGGGGTGATGGCGAAGCCAACGCAGAAGAATGTTATGCCAGTGAGGACGGCGATCTCGGAGGCGGCAAACTCGCGAATCATGCCGGCGGCGGGGGGAGCGTACGAGCCGGCATTGTAGGCGGCGACGAAGGTGGCGGCAGAGCCGAGGTAGACGGCAAAGCGTTTGCGGAGGGGGGGCCAGAGGAGGGGGTCGGTGAAGGGACTTAGGTCTGGGCATTGGGGTGGGGGGGAAGAGACGGATGATGGGGAACTGGAGGTGGATGGGAGGGGGGTTGCGAAGGTGAGATAGTGATGGGTGATGGGTGATTCGCCATTGAGACCGGTGTGGGTGGTAGTTGACGTGCTGGGGTCGCTGCCGTCATATTTCTTGTGGTAGGGGACATCTGCTATCTGTTCGTTGAGGCTCGGCGGTGATATTGAGCGCGGTGACGCATCGCGAATTGGCGGCTTCTCAATGGAGGAGTCATGGTGTTCTACTCCAGGCTGTGACTCAGAAGTCTGATGCTTGCCCTGGACTCTTCCATCGTCTGAAGTCCCGGCATCTCTCTCACTCGCTTCTAGCTTCTTCATTACCAGCAGCGACGCAGCTCCAAGCCAGCTCGACAGAGTATGAAGAAGAAAAAACAGCTATACTACGTACAGAGACAGTATATTACAAAGGCCCACCTCCCCCCGCCTTTTTGTCACGACAAGGGTATGAAACCCACCCCATCACGGAAGTATCATAGCCGCGACGCGCCATTCCGCCATCCGATGCAAGCCTTTTTACGTTATGCGAGCCGCCCCTCAGAAGGCGACGTGCGCTTGCATTGGCGACGATGACTGAAGAAATCCATGATGAGTGGCTGCATGTGCATGCCATGTGGGCCAAAGTGGAGAGATCGGAGAATTGGACGAGGGTGTTATTGCCGCGATGCCCGCATTCCCGTCTTAGCGAGGCGCGATGCTACTGGGCTGCTATTAATAGCCAATCTAGATGAATACTGTACGATCTGATCTGACGGGGGTTTTAGTGCGCTTAGCGCGGGAAGATCCCGAACCACCGATATAAGATGTGGGGATGATAAACAAATTGGTAAAGATATAAAGATACAGACGAGTAAATATTTGGAGACTTTTAGATCGAGGGGCAATGTAGCCTGCAAAAAGTACAGAAATCGCAGTGTTGTATTGGTCCCCGACAAGACCGAGGTCTTCCTCGATTCCTTGAATTCTTGCATTGGGGACGGCATTGCGGTCGAGATAACTAGCAAGTGTGAGTAACAGGCCTTTTCACGTGGTAGTCTGTGAAGGGGGACTAACTTGAGAACAATCATGCCCAAAAGACATGGCATAAGGCGGTAATCAGTCTTACGCAGGAGAGCTTTCTCTCTACGTGCGAACTCGACAGGATCAAGACTTTCGAAATGTTCGTGGACAGCCATGAGAAGAATTAGAAGAATCTTTTCTAGGCACATATGCTCTCTATCCCACGGCGCAGACGATTAAGACCAACCGCGGATTCCAGCCATCTTTACTTGCAAATACAACCCCCAATCCACTCCCTTCTCATCAACACCGTCACAATCTGTCAACGCCACTATTCTAGAACCAAAAGGTCTACACCCATCCCTTCATCCACCCCCACCCACCTCAGCACGCTCGCCTGCGCCGACCCAAATATATCCGCAAACCCCTCCTCCCCTGGCAGCGGCGGCTCCATAGTATTTAGCACATCGGCATACCACAGCACCAGTGCGATAGTGTACCTTGCGTCCATCCCATATACCTTACTTCCCTGTATCAGCAGCTCCTTCAATAGCCCATTGAAGAAATACTGCAATTTATGCGGGTCTGGTATATCATCTTCAGCGGCGCTTGGTGCGACTATGAAGGCTGCGAAGTACCGGAGGAATGTGTGCAGGAAGTCCACCCATTCGGGTCCGGAGCGATTGGTCGTTGCGAGGCAGCCTTGGAGGGCGTGGATAGCGGCTTGGCGGTGGTTGTTGGAGGAACTGTATAGTCTCGCAAAGCAGAACTTCATGCTACTCATGGGCAGGAGGGTATCCGGCCAAGGTCGGGTGGGGAAGATGGCTCTGGTGAGAACAGCGAGGATGGTCTCTACTTGATCTATGGTGTATCTGTTGCTAAAGGCCTGGTTCTTCAAATTGTCAAATTTTATCTCCGTGTCAATGAAATCCCTGATGGAGAAACCCTCCCTGAATGACAATTCATGGAGCTCCTTGTGCTCTTTTTTGCATCTGTTACCTGTGAGACATAAGCTAACTATGTATTAGACGAACAGGACTGAAGCTTGGGACTTACATCTGCAGAAGAAGGAATATCCACGGTGTAGTTTCCTCTTGCGCATCAACACGCCTTCTCTGAGCTCTGTGTACGTCAGCGTTATTTCGTCGCCAGCATTGATTGGCTTCAGTGACCGCATTCGTAGCTGGCTGCCTTCGAAGAACACAAAGGCGTTTGGATCGCAGGAGTGGTTTACAAAAGATCCTACAAGATCGAGCGTTATTCCAGGGCTCCCTTCTTGGTGATTAATGCACATAACATTTGTGAGAACCTCAAAAGGCGTCAGTTTCTCTAGCTTAAAGTGCAGGTATGCAATGATGACCTCACCTTACAAAACAGATCCTGTATTGCCTCATTTCCAAGCTTCGACTGTATCGAGGTTTTGGCACCCTTGGAGATGTCAATACCCTTGTGGCTGTCAAAGACAGAATTATTCTGTCTCTGGTTACCACAGAGGTGATGCAGAGCTTGCCACTCTTGCTCCGAATATGTGCCCTGCTTGTGCATCGCGAGCACCCGATACAGCATACGGGTCCATAAATCCGCAGATGGTGAGCGCTTTAAGGCCTCGCACTCTGACTTGTGGTACTTTTCCAAGGCCTTCGCCTGACAATCCTACCAGGGATTAGTTTGCGCTTCGCCGACACAGCGAAACTCATCATAATGAGCCAGGATCCTCACCTTGGAACAGTACCCACATACTCCGCATTGTGTGCACAGACTGATCTTTGGCAACACCATCACTTCGCCTTTGGCTTTGAATTTACCATTGGCATTAATCAGTATAGCTCTGCTTGCATAACAGTAATCGCAGATAATACCATGCTTCGCACTCCGGACACAGTTGACCAACGGCGTGGACCGGAAGATCTCCGACCCCTCAGGGATCGCTTCCATAGCGAAGAGACCAGTGCCATTGTTATGGATTCTCGAGGGGAGGATTTCCAGCGCGACTGAGCGGTTGAGATTGCGTAAGAGATGTTGACAGAGTTCTTGGTCATTGTGTATGGCTCCACCATCGGCTTGGGGATTCGGGGGAGGTATTTGGCTTGCCATTTTAGCTCATGTAACGTATGCTAATCCGTGAGCAATACTTTGTAATAAGAATGGACGATGCTCAAAATAGTGACATGTTGTGCTGGTAGAAAGATTTGATTTGAGCGTTCTGGAGATTTGAGTGAAGCCATGGCTACGCGTGGCAGGTGAGAACCACTTGGTCGTTCCTTCCGCCAGTGAACATGGTTCTCTATACCCCAGCAACGCAGCAATAAAATTGAATAACGTGGTAATTGGCCATTTATTACTCGGAATGAAGGCCAATTATTACTCGGAATGAAACTATATTTAACTGGCAAGGCTGTACTACCTCTCTAAACTCCACATCCCTGACTTCCATACCACAATGCCCAGGCGGAAACTAATACGGCTCCTGCTGGCTGGAGGGCCTGATATGCATGTCCATGCACAGCCAATGGGGTAAATGTGAAGCTGTGCGAAGCAAGTCACCAAGTCTGTGGCAGTGTATGCACTCAATGACCTCTGTAATCTACTTACTTGGCTCTAAACTGAGCCACCCCAAAGTCCCCAGGTTCGAGCTATAGTATGAATAACCGCCAGCCTTTATGGGACCTGTCTTCATTCACATAAAACCAAAATCCAGAGTCAGTAAATTACCCCCCTCACAGTCAGACACAACACCAATCCATTCGATTCCCTTATCTTCCCCACCAAACCACGGCCAACGGCGGCCAAAATCGACAGTGACAGATCGGGGCCTTCTCATTCGCGGAAATGCGGAGGTGCATCGTAATTGCGGGTTCGGCAGGGAGGCAGTTAGGATTATTGTACCCGGGGGAGTGTGGTGGAAGCCACCCGCTGCCAGGGTTAGCACAAATAATCATAATAATCATGACTATTCAAATAGTCAAATATTACGTAAGCATAGTAGAAAAGGAAACCAAATAACGTGCATGTATAACGAAAGTGCCAAACAAGCGAAAGTGCCAAAATATCGCGACTACCCCATAAGAATTGCGATAAATCCACCACAACAATATAAATTAATTAAAACTACTCGGAGTCCTCTTCCTCAGACCTGTCTATTACAATCTGACAAGTGCGCGCATTGTGTCCAGTCTCACCACACTTGCCACAGCGACGTGCATGGGTTTCTTCCCTTGGCTTCCGACCACTACTTGCCCTTATTTCTTGCTCTACTTGCTGCACAACGTCCCTCTCGTCCTGTAGCTCCTGTGCTACCTGTTGACTAAGTGATCCTCCTTGCTGTAGTCGTGTTTTTTTAGCTCTCCGGCGCTTGCTTAGCACTTCATTTGCCTGTCGCAGGTTTTGGTTCTCTGCTTTTAACAATGCTAATTGATGCATTATTTGCGATGCACCCTTTGTAAACTGGTCAACAGCTGCATAGATTGAGGTTGGAGAGCTATTTTGATGATGCGCAATTCGGTTTTTAATGAAAGTAGACTGTGATACAGCTTCAGTTGGGTTATTTGGTGTCTGAGAAACCCATGGTTGAGCGGTGTTTGGCCGACGAGAGGTTGGAGGTGTTGGCGTCTTAAACCTAAGGTCAAGTGTAGATATTACACTCTCAGGGCTCAATGGAAGAAGCCCAGCACCTCGGAACCCTCCCTGAATATTGCTTTCTGTCATTGCAATGTTAAATGCAGCGTGGAAGGCAGGAAAGAAGTCATCCTTAGTAATGTGAATAATATGAGCCCGCATCATATCTTCAATTTGCTGACCGTAAGCTCTCTTTAATGGGCCAAAACAGCCAACATCAAGTGGTTGGAGTATATGGGAAGAGTGAGCAGGCATACAAAGCGTAATAATGTTGTGTTCTTTGCAGTACTCCTCAAACTTGTCTGAGTGGTGGCTCTCATGACCATCAAGGACTAACAAGCGATAACCACCAACACTCCGGGGCTTTGTGTGCTTCTCAAAATGCTGAATCCAATCCATACCTCTCTCGTTTGTAGTCCAGCCATTTGCAGTAACAGCGATTACCCAATCTGCTGGAAATCCACTATTCTCATACCAAGATGCAAGGTGGTTTTTACCTGCCACAATGACAAATGTGTAATGGTGGGTGCACCAGATGTGAGAATCTAGCCACCCAAGGAAGGGATGATTTTACTAAGACAACACACTGTCTTAGGAAACAGAGCCAAAGGGTTGTAGCTTAGACTATTCCACAATGCAGCAATCAGGTGTGTGATGTAGTGAAGTGGTTCAGACAAGTTGCAACAAATGTTGAGTCTGGGAACTCAGGGGTAAGTCAGAGGTTAACACCTCACTGACTTTTCAGAAACAAGGAGTAACAAGATGAATGCTTGGAAGCTTGTAAAAGACATAGAAGTATGTGCTAGTCGATTTACTGTATTGTCTGCTTGCCCTTTCTTAAGGAAAGGGCAATCCTATTTATGCCAAAGGAGTGTAGTTCTCTCATTTTCCATGACTTTCCATGACTAACCAGGCTTGGTAAATGTATTAGAAATCAAGTGCGACCCACAACTAGCTTGCTAATCATGTAGCGAATGTAAGAGAATCCCATAGAACCATCTCTTGGGTTCCTAGCCTATAGGAAGTGAAAAGGAGGTCCAAGGTCAGAGTACCTATAGATAAATTATGTCATAACTTAACCAATCTTGTGGGTAACTAAGGAGCGATGACGTGTAATGAATCATAGAGGGTTGTAGAAGCTTCTAGAGCTATCGTTCATGTTCCTAGGCCTCTAGTTGGTAGAGATATGCCATGTGGTAGTATTGGCCCACCCCCTTAAGGAAGAGATTTTCTTAATAACTTGTTCAATGAGTGTTCAAATGATATGCCGTGATGTATGTAGCATAAACAGATGTAGTAGAAGAGTTTGCAGCAATCGTTGAGTAGTATTGCTTCTGTTGTTGGTGTGATAAGCCAAGATATGTATGGTGACTTGTAGGTTTGAGGAGGAGATTTCTAAGTTTGCTCTTGAGTTTGATAGCAAACTGAGTGCAACGAATGTCAGTATGACAAAATGGCGGCACTGCCCAACCTTGAGAACTAATGCCTTGGATTACTGTAACCCATTCCCGATTGCCAGGCTGCACCTTTTTTGCCTTTGCCCGCTCATCTGAGCTCGTTACTACCGTTGCGCTTGAGATGACGCCCATCATAAACCCAGTCTCATCAAAGTTGTAGATATCTGCATTGTTGATGCCATACTTTAGAATTGTGTTCCATACAAGCTCAAACCAGCCACAAATGACTTCTGGATCTTCGCACTTAGCCCTCTGGTAGTCGTATTTTCGCTGGAAGCGTGTCCGGAGCTCTACATGGCGCTTAACAAAGTTTGAAGCCCAACGTGACCCGACACGTGGCGCGTCGCGTGTTGCAAGTAGTCGATTTGCCATATCTTCAACAATAGACAACTGAGGAGGGAACCCTTTAGCAGCTAAGTCAAGTATATACTGAACAAGAACTGATTCCTCTAGGTTACTTAATTTCTGTAAGTTGGCTTGGATATCGCGTCGTGAAGGTACACCTTGTAAACGGTGACGTAGCTTGCGGTGGTCTACGGAATAGATCCTAGCTGCAACTCGAAGGCGCAAATTTGGGTCGCTTTGCATAGCTTGGATAGCTAGCACTAATTTGCTTTCATCATTTTTATGGCGCATGTTTTGTTGTGGAGGAATTTAACATTTAGTTGGGGGGGTTGGTCACCGCATGATTTTGGCACTTTCGCTTGTTTGGCACTTTCGTTATACATGCACGTTATATATTAATCTATCTAAATACTACTTAAAGTATTAATTTAGCTATAGATTCCTCTTCTAGATCCTCTTCTTCTTCCTTTATAAAATCCCAACTCTTTAAACAAGCTATTACTCTAAAAACGTCTTTAGAAAGCCTATTTCTAATCTTTGAAATAATAAGGCTACCTATACTATAAGAGCTCTCTATAGGAGCACTAGTAGTAGGGATTTGTAAATAGCACCTAGCTATAGTAGCTAGAATTGGAAATCGAGATTGATTGATTTTCCAATAGTATAAAGGATTAATCTATATAATATTAGTAAGTTAATTATTAAAGAGGGTTAATAGCTTACCTTATAATGGGAAATAGGTTCTTGGAAATAAATAGAAGTTTCTGTTTCAAAGTCATCTTCTATAGTTTGAGAATATAATGATCTTTCGAAATCATCTAATAAATCATCTTCCTCAGTTTATGCCATTTATGTCCTAATTAGGCGTTTTGATAAATGTGGCATTAAGTTGTCTGCTCTGTCCTTGCTAAGTGGTATTAAGCTGTTTGCTATACTTTCGTCTGCCGTTTCCCTTCTTTAGCTATTTTAAATCCTAGGCTATATAGCTAGGTTTGTTGTAGTTGAAACAAAGCTGTTCCTTAAGATGTTGCTCCTTATTAGGATTATAGGGTTTACCATTAGGCTTGAAAGTAGTGTTGAGTTCCATAGGCTAGGGCTAATAATGACTTTCTGTTTGTCTTCTCTTCCAAGTCTAATGTTAATTAGGTGGTCCCCCCTTCTTCTTAAGTTGCCATTTATAGTGTTGGTTGTCAATCTTCTATACATAAACACTCATGGACCCTCCCACAGCCTCGCGCTACGGCCAACCTAGACGAGGCTACCACAATATCCCACGCCCATCCAGTCCCTCCCAGCCAATCATATCGAGTCTTGGCGGGATTGCGTGCTTGAGGCGTGGTGTGGTGTGGAGAGGATGCGTTTCTTTACGTGTGCGGGTACCAGATTGTCTCCCACCACTAATCACCTATAAGACCACTCTGTCCCTGCTTCCTTTTTCTCTTTCTGCTCTCTTCTACCCCTCTTCAAGCTTCACTCTTCATTCTTCATTCTTCATTCTTCATTCTTCATTCTTCATTCCTCATACTTCTTGGTTCTATTACTCTCGTAGTAGCATCGCCATATCTCATCTCCAGAATATCTCCAAATAACATCAACGTCATCATGTCTGCTTCCGAAGAGAGAGCTGCTCCGTAAGTCGAAACAACACCACTTGATCACATAATTCCCTCAAACCCTGAATGGTCCTCGATCAAGCTTGATCAACCTTCAAACCCCCCTCCCCATCCTCAATCTCCTCACAAACCTGCTCACCCCCCACCTTTTCAAACAACCCCGCTAACCCCACCCTCCAGCCTCCGCCTGGGCTCCATCGCCCCCAACTTCAAGGCCGAGACCACCGGCGGCGACATCGACTTCCACGAGTTCATCGGCGACAAGTGGGTGATCTTCTTCTCGCACCCCGAGGACTACACCCCCGTCTGCACCACCGAGCTCGGCGCCTTCGCCAAGCTCGAGCCCGAGTTCACCAAGCGCGGCGCGAAGCTCATTGGCCTCTCCGCCAACACCATCGAGTCCCACGGCGGCTGGATCAAGGACATTGATGAGATCTCCGGCTCCAAGCTGACCTTCCCTATTATCGGCGATAAGCAGCGCCAGATCGCCTTTGCGTATGATATGCTTGATCACCAAGATGCTACCAATGTCGATGCGAAGGGCATTGCTTTCACCATTCGGTCGGTCTTCATCATTGACCCAAAGAAGACTATCCGCACTATCCTTTCTTACCCCGCCTCCACCGGCCGCAACACCGCTGAGGTTCTCCGTATCCTTGACAGCCTCCAGACGTACGTTTTTCCCCCAACTTTCACCCTCCCCCCCCAAGTTTCTACTACCAGCCCAAAAACTAACACCCCCCAGCGGCGACAAGAACCGCATCACCACCCCCATCAACTGGATCCCCGGAGACGACGTCATCGTCCACCCCTCCGTGACCAACGACGAGGCCAAGACCCTCTTCCCCCAGTTCCGCATCGTGAAACCATACCTGCGCTTCACCCCTCTCCCAAAGGAGAAGACCTCTGCCAACATCTAAGTTAAAAGTCGTGGATGTGGTAGTGGGAGATGATGGGAAGGGATGGAAGATGGATGGATAGAGTTAAATTGTTTGTTTTTAGCGGAGAGAGGAGGATAGGGGTGTGGTAGTCGAATGAGATGAGATACCCCATGTGGGGATTGTGTTTGTGTGCGTGTGGTTGTCGTGATATGTGGTGCTGTTGTGAGATGATGAGGGGGTATTCGTCCATTAATTGACCCTGATCAACCAGTGAGTTTTTGAATATACAGGCAGCTGCGATGGAAAGCTTGCTAGGTAATCGTTCTTTCCATGTATAGGATTCGGAAGGTTTTGAGGAAGCTGCCATCGAGGTTTGCTTACTCCCCTTCCGCAATCAATGCCACTCAAAACCTCTCGTCTCATCAAGCTTCAAACAGCGTCCCCGCGAGCTCACTTAGCCACATATAGGGGACCCAACCTAATTGTATACAAACGTACGTTCCAACACATGTATTGATCTTCAATATGGCTCATTGTAGCCTCTCATTGCGTGCTCCTGCCATTCTGCTTCCGCTCCTGCGTGCTGATGTCTATTGAGCACAGCTTGAATGTGTACCAAAAGTAAAATGCAGTATCGTGTATTTTTAACAATAGACAAAACAATTTACGGCAACCCATGTCAAGAACAGAATACCCTGACCTTTGCGTAAAGAATAGAATACCCGTGGGGCCCTATTCTACGATATGTAATTGGCTGTAGTTTCCGTGATAATTCCAGCTAGCCAGCCGGCCAAATTGCCTGTGGCTCCATCAACGTCGCGCTTCTTCGTCCAGAAGCAGAACTTGTCCTTGACGGCCCAGTCGTCTAAAGCCCGGATAACAGCGCCTAAATCCAGGAACTCGGCGCCATCTTCTGAGCTCAGCAAGAGCTGACATGCTGTCGACCGTTGGTTCTTCGAAATCTTGGCCCTCGTAGGCCGGCCACAATGAGGGCGGCAAGCGGTGAGTCTGCTAAAGGCTCATCGATAGAGCTATTATCGTTGTCGCCATTCAGTTTGCAACGATGATATGGGGTAGGTGGGTGGTGTGAGCGACAGCAAAGTGGTGGTGTGGCTGTGCCAAAGTGATAATTTTAGGTGATTGGAGAACACTACACAAATTACATACGATTCCTCACTTCTACGAAATTACCACCCTACAAATAGCACCACACCGGTATTCTGTTCTTTACATGGGTAAGTTCAGGGTGTTCTATTCATAAAGTCTTCAATTGATCCTCCTAGTTAGTCGTAATTCATGAGGCCATGATAAAAAGCAACGCTATGCTACGCACGCGATGCTTATCCCAGTGCGGGACCTCGCGATGCAGGAAGTCCCGCGCGGCATTCGCGCCGTCGACCTCGAAGCGCTTATCCTCCGACACCAGCTCGCCGGTCGGGTCCCATCCGATGTCGTGCAGCAGGGCGGCGACGGCGTGGACCTCGAGGTCGCGATCGGCGATGGCGGGGATCTTGGCGCTGATGATGAAGCCGAGCAGCATGGAGCGAAGGGTGTTGTTGTTGGTGGACAAGCAAAATGGTTTAGTATACATATAATATAGCCTTCCTTCTTCGGGATTCGTCCAATATGTCCCCAAACAAATGACCACAATTCAAACTACAAGAAGGTCAGGGGTTAGTTTACTTGCGACTAGATATGGAAGGGATGAAGTCCGCCAAAGACGGTCTCAGCGGCAAAGAGTGGCAGCGGAATTGAGCAACCTTCATCAACGAAGTCGAAGCTTCTCTGGATACGTGGCTGAAGCGAAAGACATTCACACTCGCATTTCGGCAGACCAAGAGCAGACCCTCTCCGGCAATTACTATGATAGTAGTGCATAGGAGGTGAGAAGACAGAGCAGCGGCGAGAAGAGCAGCGGTGGTGACAGTGGAGCGGTGACAGGATTAGCACGACAGTGTTCGTCACCATCTGGAACTGACATCGTTTAGTGTTGATTCTCGAACTCCGGGGCCGAGGGTAGGCTCTAGACGTTCTTGGGGACTTCGAGATTCATGGTCAGGTTTCTTTTCAACATAACTCGGGCCTTGCATGTCGATAACCGTGTCTAGGATTTCGAGGAAAGTTAGATCGTCTGGAGAAGTCGTGACTCTCAAGGCATTGGCAAAACCAGGATCCGTAATGTTGTTAACGTACGCTGCATAAATTCGTCAATGCCACCACCCACCCACATAAACTACTCGATCTCCTCAATCCTTGGGCCTGGGCCTGGGCTTGGGCTAGGAGCCATGTGTGGGGTGTATGCGCCATGCATTAAAGCGTTCCACCGTGCTTTGTAACGAGCTTGCGATTTATAGTTCACGTCGGTTGTGGACCCAACGACTTTTCCATCCGTAATGTCGTTGCCAGATCAGGATAATCTACGTCTCTCATCATCGTTTCTTGGTCACTCGGGGCAGAATAATATACAATTATCACTCATCATTTCATATCCCGTTCCCAGTGATCGATAGATTCAATATTTGCCAATCGAAGAAAATAACCTGTTGTTTCCAACCTCACAAAGTGCTATCCATAGAAACGAAAATAGAACAAAATTCTCCCGCTGGCTATGCCACTTTCCCAATCCAATCCAACCATCTATCTACCCCCCCCCCAAAAAAAACCTCACCACAAACATACACCCCCCACCTAACTGATCCCCAACCCCACGTCCTGCCTCCCCGCACTCATCCCCCGCTCCCTCAACCTCCTCCCCTCCATCAACCCCCTCAACCCCCTCTTCTGCAACCCAATAACCGCACTCAGCCCCCCCCCCCACTCCTCCCTCCCCCTCTCCCCCCAACCCCCGCCCCCGCCCTCACTCCCACTCCCCCCCTCACTTCCCCCATCCCCCCCATCCCACCCCCTCTCATCCCTCATCACCCCCCCCTCTCCTCCTCCCACGCCCCCTCGCCCACCCCTCTGCCCCCCCCAGCCCCCATAGCAGCTGCATTAAACACCGCCGCCGCATTCCGCGAATCCAACACCCCATGCAACCCCTCCACCACCGCCTCCAGCAAGCCTTCAACCCGATACGGTCGCGCAACCTGGAGCAAACTACACAAAACCTGCGGCGTGCAGCCCCTCGGCAGGCTGCCCGAGTACAGATACGCAACGAGCGCCTGGATAGTCAGCACAGTATGCGGCATATACAGCGTCCTCGGCCTCCCTCCCCCGCCGGATCCCGTGATCGTCAAACCGCTGATCCGTCGCCCGGATTCGCCGCCGCGGAGAGTGGCGACGTCAACGCCTTCTTGCACGGCTGTGCCTTCGCGCTCGAGGGTCTCGATGTAGGCACCCCATCGTCGCGCGAGGACGCGGGAGTTGACGGGGACGCGCTCTCCGCCTACGGCGAGGATATCCATATCAGCCACCTCGGTGGCAGCCATGGCCAGGGTGCCGAGTTCCTCCGCCGCGGCGCTCAGAATGCGTCCGCCTGGCTGCCACGGGCCGGGGTGGGGTGCCGGGAGAGCAGCGGATGCAGAGACGTAAGAGCTTGATGGGGAAGCACGGCGCGGATTCTCATATAACCCGAACGCCTCGAGCTCCACAACGCAAACATCGCTAAAATTGAGACGACGATGATTATAATCATCCACCAACGCGCGATTCCTCGACCCGAGCACCACGAACGCCGAGCGCCTCGACCAGAGGACACCGCGGTTCCACGAGCCGGTGGAGAAGACGTTTCCGCCTGCGTCGATGCGGGACCATGACAGGGACGGCAGATCGAGGGCCCACAGCGCGTATTCCTGCTTCGACGACGTGAGGTACGTGCCGCTTACCACGAAGGTGTTGGCGATCACCGCGCCGTTGGGGAAGCGTAGGCCAGGGGGGGTGAAGGCGCCGGACATGGGTTTCTCGACGAGGGAGCCGTCGGAGCCGCGGAGTTGCAGTTCTAGCTTCACGTCCAGGAAGTTGTAGTTGCTGTAGATCAGCATCGACGTCGCTGTGTCGCGGTCTGGGCCGGGAGTGGTGTCGGGTTTCGCGTTGCCTTTTCCGATGCGCGATGCTACGGTTGCGGAAACGGGCGCGACAACGCTGCGGTAGGCACCGCAGCTCTTTCCGAGCAGTTGTGTGCGTGTCCACGATAGGGAGCGCAGGTTGAACACGCTGATCTGCTCGATATAGTGATTCGCGCTATCTTGGCCGCCAACAACGACCATCTCCGCACCGCCCGTACCATCAATATGCACACCCAGCACGCCCTGATTCGGGTTCTCCCCAGCGGGGTTATGCTGAATAGCCGACAGCGGAGCAGAAGACGCATTTGCAAACGCCGCCGCCGATGGCAGGATAGTAGCGCAATGCGCGTACCGTCCCTGCGGCGTATCAGACGTCGGGATATACGTCCACGTATTGCTCGGCACGTCGTAAATATGGATATCAGACATCACCACCACCTCCGGCTGCGCCTCCTGACCATACTGCGGCGGCGCCGGCTGCCCATTCGCTCCCGTCGCAGGCGACATCCCACCATAACACACCAACTTCGTGTCGCCGACCGAACACATACTATGGAAGTACCTTGGCGGCACCGCCGTCCCCGAAGGCTCAAGTTTCGTCCAGTGCCGCCGGATGAGATCCAGTTCGTACAAATCCGCCGTCAACGCCGCGCGCGTACGCGACAATACCTTCCCGCCAAACACATACAATTTATCCCCCAATATCGTCGTCGTAGCCCCCACAAGCGCATGCGGCTCCCTCCCCGTAGTACGGTGCACATTACACATCAACCCCGACAAATGCGTCCCCCCTCCCCCACCCCCGCTTGCTGGCCCCCGGGACCCAGGCTGCGCAGGACTAGCAGCCGACCCCCCGCTCCGCGGCGTCGAGCCCGAAGCCACTCCTGCATCTTCTCCTCTTCCGTCGTCGTCGAAACCCCCTCCTCGCGATGGCAGGCTGGAAGAGGGGTGCCCGTTCGCGGTCCCGAGGTAAGGAGACTCGCCCTCGCGGCGGCGAGTGTAGGCGTCTCCGCTGCTGCCGCTGGCGGTGGCGCTGTCCATGGTGCTGGCGCGGTGGAGGATAGGGCGTGACATCTGGTGTCTGTGGTTGCGGCAGCGCCGCGGTGTAGTGTGTGGGTTTGATCGATCGGTGGATGGCTTAATGTGCTCTGAATCGCCGTCGGAGTTTTGTTGTATTCGTGTGGTTCGTCCAGCTATGGTTACCCCCAAAAAATCAGCCCGTCCAATCAATTCCTAACCCTCAGAATCCCTTTCGTACCCTTGAAAAAAGCTCGGGTAAAGTCGTCCTGATCGTCAAGCGTCGCACCTCAAAGCCTACCGTCGTCCTGCCTGTCTGTCGTCCGATTGTGCGAATAACCAATACTCCTTCCACCACCCACAGCCTAAACGCGGGGACCGCGCGCTTTGACACCGTAGCGTGGGAGTTGCGTGACTGCGTGGGTTAGCGTGGGTGGTCCAAGCGCTGAGGGCCGCATGGGTGGATGGGCACGTGATTTGGAGAGTATTTTTATATGTGGGGGGATCGGATGAAAGATTGGGCGGAGGGGTGTTGGGGTTTTGTATGGGGTCTAGGGGTTTGGGTTTGATAGGCCCTAGGATACAGGATTTAGACACCTTACATATTGTCATTAGATGGCTTATTAATTATCTGTGTGCATAACGTACATGTATAGCGAATGTGCAAAATATCACGACTACCCCTAGAGTTAGCACAAATAATCATAATAATCATGACTAACGTGTGTGCATAACGAATGATACAACATAACGAATGATACACTACCTTGAATCCACACAACTCCTCTAGTAAACAGTAAATCCCTTCACAACAAAAGATGCCGCAGAAAAACGATGAACGCCAAGTTATATTAGCTCTTCAGGCGATGCAAAATGACCCTAAGCTAAGTGCTCGAGCTGCTGGAAAGCTCTATTCTGTCGATCATCAGAATCTTAGTCGTCGTAAGCATGGTATGCATTCACGATGCGATATTTCTGCCAATTTGTGGAAAATGACCGACTTAGAGGAATCAATCCTTGTCCAGTATATTCTTGACCTAGCTGCTAAAGGATTTCCTCCCTGATTGTCTGTTGTGGGAGATATTGCAAATCGACTTCTCGCGACATGCGACGCGTTACCTGTCAAGACGCGCTGGGCTTCCAACTTTGTTAAACGTCGCATAGAACTCAAAACAAGGTTCCAGCGCAAATACGACTATCAGAGGGCTAAATGCGAAGACCCAGTAATTATTCGTAGCTGGTTTGAGCTTGTGCGAAACACAATTGTGAAGTACGGCATCCACGATGCAGATATTTACAACTTCGATGAGACAGGGTTTATGATGGGCATTATTTCAACTGCAACAGTGGTAACAAGCTCTGATGGACGTATGAAGGCAAAGAAAGTACAGCCTGGCAATCGTGAATGGGCTACAATAATACAGGGTGTTAATTCCCAAGGCTGGGCGATTCCACCATTTATTATTGTTGCAGGCAAAAACCACCTCACGTCTTGGTATGAAAACAGCGGATTTCCACCAAACTGGGTAATAACTGTTACAGATAATGGTTGGACAACAAATGAGAAAGGCATGGATTGGATCCGACATTTTGAGAAGCATACAAAACCTCGAACTGTAGGTGTCATACTGACATTCGTTGCACTCAGTTTGCTATCAAACTCAAGAGCAAACTTAGAAATCTCCTCCTCAAACCTACAAGTCACCATACATATCTTGGCTTATCACACCAACAACAGAAGCAATACTACTCAACGATTGCTGTAAACTCTTCTACTACATCTGTTTATGCTACATACATCACGGCATATCATTTGGACACTCATTGAACAAGTTATTAAGAAAATCTCCTCCTTAAGGGGGTGGGCCAATACTACCACATGGCATATCTCTACCAACTAGAGGCCTAGGAACATGAACGATAGCTCTAGAAGCTTCTACAACCCTCTATAATTCATTACACGTCATCGCTCCTTAGTTACCCACAAGATTGGTTAAGTTATGACATAATTTATCTATAGGTACTCTGACCTTGGACCTCCTTTTCACTTCCTATAGGCTAGGAACCCAAGAGATGGTTCTATGGGATTCTCTTACATTCGCTACATGATTAGCAAGCTAGTTGTGGGTCGCACTTGATTTCTAATACATTTACCAAGCCTGGTTTGTCATGGAAAGTCATGGAAAATGAGAGAACTACACTCCTTTGGCATAAATAGGATTGCCCTTTCCTTAAGAAAGGGCAAGCAGACAATACAGTAAATCGACTAGCACATACTTCTATGTCTTTTCCAAGCTTCCAAGCATTCATCTTGTTACTCCTTGTTTCTGAAAAGTCAGTGAGGTGTTAACCTCTGACTTACCCCTGAGTTCCCAGACTCAACATTTGTTGCAACTTGTCTGAACCACTTCACTACATCACACACCTGATTGCTGCATTGTGGAATAGTCTAAGCTACAACCCTTTGGCTCTGTTTCCTAAGACAGTGTGTTGTCTTAGTAAAATCATCCCTTCCTTGGGTGGCTAGATTCTCACATCTGGTGCACCCACCATTACAGTAGGTGGTTATCGTTTGTTGATCGTTGATGGTCATGAAAGCCATCACTCAGACGAATTTGAGGAATACTGCAAGGAAAACAATATTATCACTCTATGTATGCCGGCTCATTCTTCTCATATCCTCCAACCACTCGATGTTGGGTGTTTTGGCCCACTGAAAATGGCTTATGGGCAGCAAATCGAAAACATGATGCAGGCTCACATCACGCATATTACGAAGGATGACTTCTTTCCCACATTTCACGCTGCTTTCTTTATTGCAATGACTGAAAACAACATCCGAGGAGGCTTCCAAGGCACTGGGCTTTTCCCATTTGATCCTGATAGTGTGGTTTCTATGCTTGATCTCAGATTTAGAACCCCGACACCACAAAACTCCCGCCCTAGCACCGCTCAACCTTGGGTTTCCCAGACACCAAATAACCAAAATGAAGCCTTATCACAGACAGCTTTCATTAAAAATCGAATTGCACATCATCAAAATAGCTCACCAACCTCTATTTACAATGCTGTTGACCAATTTGCAAAGGGAGCATCACAAATGATGTATCAATTAGCATTGTTAAAAGCAGAGAACGAAATGCTTCAGCAAGGAATGGAACAACTTAGCAAACGCAGAAGGGCTAAAAAAACACGCCTACAGTAAGGAGGATCACTTACACAACACGAAGCACAAGAGTTACAAGATGAGAGGGACCTTGCGCAACAAGTAAAGCAAGAAACACAGGCAGGGAGTGGTCGGAAGCCAAGGAAAGAAACACGCGCAAGGCGCTGTGGCAACTGTGGTGGCACAAAACACAATGCACGCACCTGTCAGATGGTAATAGAGGTATCTGAGGATGAGTACTCTACATAGCTTTAATTAATTTATAGCATTGTAGTGGAATTATCATAGTATTTGTTAAGTGAGCACATTGGACTGTATCATTCGTTATGTTGTATCATTCGTTATGCACGCACGTTAACATACACGATAAGTAAGCTGCGCACGCAAGCACCCCTCATCAATTTTATGACTTTATAGGTTGATTCAACAACAACAAAATTAATTAATTAATATTAAAATACACTAATTAGAAGCTTCCCTTTGTGCGTACGTACGAGCTGTATGCTCAAGTGGTCTACATAAACTACACATACATGGTTTGGCTGGTCTGTAACCTCCTCTACACGCTCTAAATCAACCCTTTGCGACCGATTCAACCCTTTCTAAACTGTTAAAACTTCCCGCTAACCAATATAAGACCTCCTCTATGCCTTCTTCTTCTTTTGTCTCTCATTTTCAGACCGTAATTTCCTGTTCTCATCTGCAAGAGGACAGTGGAATGCATTGCCATTTAACAGTCTTTTACCAGCTAGTTTAGTGCATAATCTGTTAGACTTAGGGGACTCTGCGTTCACTAGCTAACATACCCCTTGATAACTTGAGCCTAGAGCTCCAATTAAGCGATATTCTAGGGCGTTCTGGGTACCTAAGGACCTTGCAAGGAAGTAGAGAGGTCTGTTGGTAGGGTTGGTGTCTGTAACTGGGTATTAAGCTTAACAAGTACTCGTTCTAGGTCAAAGAGAACAAGGCCTGTAGCTGTGAACCCATTGTAGACCGTATTTACACCTATAGCCTTGTTGTGGGCAGAGAGGTAAGCTGTAAGGAAGTCTGGCTTGTTAATGTGATTAAGGCCCATGTGCATATACCCCTTGATTTGCTATCTGTAAATGTAAGGACACAGGGCACCCAGCTCACAGTAATAGCATATGAGAGTGCGAGTTGGAGGCTAAACGGATGCTATCCTATAGGTCTACTACGAAGGATACAAAAAAGATGAAGGGGGAACCCCGTGAGTCAATTTTCTTAAGAAACCCATCCGACTCGGTTAGCCCGCCCAAATGATCACACGTGACCCGCAGCTACTCAGAGTCTGCTCCTTAGAGTGAGAGACAAGAAGGCATCCTTACAGTAAAAGCATTTTAGAACTGCAAAACAGCTTATGTCTAACAGCTGTAAAAGGTGCAAGGAATGTAGAGGCATGAAAAGTGTAATAATAGAGTGTGTAATATGACATTCTCAACTGTGATTACTACAACTTCGACAAGACAGGCTTTATAATGGGCATAATCTACCTAGCTATGGTTGTTACACGTGCTAATCAATATGGCAGAGACAACGCCATTCAACTAGGCAATCGAGAATGGGCTATAGCAATTGCTTATATCAACAGTGAAGGTTGGAGTGTGCCTCCATTTTTGGTAGTTCTTGCAAATTAGTATATAGATAGGGGTCTCCTACACAACTGGGTTATTAAACCTACAAATAATGGATGGACAAACAATGAGACAGGTCTAGAATGGATACAACACTTTAATAAGCATACTGCCCCTTAAGCAAAGGGTCCATATCGAATGCTTGTCCTTAATAGGCATGAGAGTCATGAATCAGCTGAATTCCAAGAGTATTACAAGGCACATAACATTATAATTCTTTGTCTACCTCCTTACTCATCTTATCTAACTCAGCCATTAATGTCAGATGTTTTAGTGTGCTAAAGCAGGCATATGACAACTAGATTAAGACCTTCATTAAGACTCATATTAACCACATCTCTAAGGTCGAGTTTTTTCTAGCCTTCAAAGCAGCATATGAACAATTAATGATGTTACAATGGTAATGGAAGTCATGGTGCTAGTCTAGGTGAAGTAAGCTAGATTGAATCTAAAGAGAGAAGAAGAAGAAAGGAAGGAAGTAAGTAAGGCTATCCCTCATTATATACAGCTATATGCTTAGCAGTTCCCTGTAACCTTGGTGGCTACTATAGGTACTTGTTGCCCTAATCGCTAGCAGCCGTAAGCAGCCATAAGCAGCGATCATAACAAATGACAGCTCAAAACGCACAGGCTGGATTTCACAGAGCTGGCTTAGTGCCTTTTGATCCATAGGCTGTGATTTCAAAGCTTGATGGAAGGTTACAGACTCTAACTTTCACTTGACCCTCCTCTGCTAATGCCAACACTTAGGTCTCTTAGACCCCTTGCAACCTAACCGATGCTCTTGTTATGGCTATAGTAACGTGACATCAGTTATAGGACTAGCAGGGCTAGGCTTGGTAACATGACCTAAGAAGTCATGAGGCTAGCGGGGCTAGGCTACAGTGTGACTAGGCTAGTGGATAGTTGCAGAAACTAGTAGATATTAGACAGTTAAGCTATCTATCAACTATCTAGATTATCCGTGAGGCATGATGCTACTATATAAGTAGATAGTATTCCCTTAGATAGGAACTTTGTGCTCAACTTAATATAGTATTCTTTACAATACTATAATGTGTTAACGTCCTCCACAAGCGAGTGTCGCATACAAGTGAGTGTCGCACGCAATTGACAGATCGTAACAAACTTTCTAACAACAACAACTATAGACTAGAAAATCAATTAAATTAATTATACACCTATTCTATAGTATCTTCTTAATCCCTTTGACATGTGCGAGCATTATGCCCAGTCTTACCACACATTCTGCAACGTCGTTGCTGTCTTTCAACCCCACCACCCTGTCGTAGTTCTTGAGATATCTGCTCTTCCACAGCTAGGTGAGCAAGTACATCCTGACCTTCTTGAATTGTAAGGCACCCTCCTTGTTGTATACGCTTTTTTTTTTGCTTTTTGCGCTGACTTGCAACTTCATTTGCTTGTTGTAAGGCCTGAACTTCCGCCTTCATTAGAACAGCAGAATGCACCATTGTTTGAGCACCTCTTAACAACTGGTCTAGCGCATTGTTAATAGGAGTTGGTGAGCTATTTTGATGGCATATAATGCGATCTTTAAGATGCGTAGTTTGACTTGCTAGCTCTATTAGATTGTGTGGTGTTTTAGGTTCCCATGAAGCATCCTCAAAGGTTGGTGGTGTTAAAGGCCGTAGTTGAATGTCAAGCTGTGACAACACAACATCAGGACAGAATGGAACTAGCCCTGTAGCTCGAAAACTACTGCAGATGTTCTGCTTTGTGATTGCGTCTGTGAAAGCCTGCTTAAAGGCAGGAAGAAACTCAACTTTCGTAACATGGTTTATATGAGTGCGGATTAAGCTCTCAACTTGCCGTCCATATGCCTTCTTAAGTGGTCCAAAGCAACTAACATCAAGCGGTTGAAGTAGATGAGATGAGTGCGGAGGCATATAAAGCAATATTATACCATTCTCCTTACAGTATTGCTCAAACGGTAGAGAATAGTGACTCTCATGGCCATCTAGAATTAACAGGCGATGTGCACCAACTGTACGATGCTTTGTATGCTTATGAAAATGTTGGATCCATTGAAATCCAAGTTCATTTGTCGTCCATCCATTCTCACTTACTGCGAGAATCCAATCTTGTGGTATATCTTCATCATACCATGTTGAGAGATGGTTCTTCCCACTCATAATAATGAATGGTGGGATTGACCATCCTTGCGCGTTAATCCCTTGAATTACTGTTGCCCACTCTCTGTTTCCAGGTTGAATTGCTTTAGGTCGATTCTGCCGTTCAGAGTTTGTAACAACCATTGCTGTTGTAATAATGCCCATTTGAAAACCCGTCTCATCAAAGTTGTAGATGTCTGCATCGGTAATTCCATACTTTGCAGTAGTGTTTTGTACAAGTGTAAACCATGCTTTTATGAGCTCTGCATCTTCACATAGAGCTCTCTTATAGTCGTATTTGCGATTAAACTTTGTTTTAAGCTCAACATGGCGTTTAACAAAGTTGGAAGCCCAATTAACTCCAACCTTGCCCACACCTCAAGATGCGAGTAATTGATTGGCCATATCTTCAACAGCACGAAGCCTAGGCGAAAACCCCCGTGAATCTAGGTCGAGGATATGTTGAATAACAACTGATTCTTCCAAGCAAGTGAGTTTTTGAGTTTTTGGTGTAATGTCACGTCGTGGGCGTATTCCCTTTAGGCGCCTCTCAAGTAGCTTAGGACAGACATTTGAGGCCTTTGCAGCTGCCCTAATGCTATTAAATTGGCGTAATCTAATAGCTTCGATAGCAATATATATTCTACCTTCAAGATTAGTTGATGGAATATCAACTTGTTGAGGCATCTTGCAGTACACATAAGGAGCGCGTTGTGTTCGTCGCGTGCGACACTCACTTGTATGCGACGCTCGCTTGTGGAGGACGTTACTTAGAAAGTTTTTGTGTTTAATCCCCTGCCTCCTCTGTTAAGTCAACCTTACACAAGAAACCTCTATGTCTTCTATTGATTAGAAGTTAGTGTTAGATCTAGTTTATTCTAACAGCACTCTCGCCTTGTTTAGAAAGTAGAAGGTTTGCCATTTCTTGCATAGCTTAGGGTCGGGGTGGAAATCCATGTGAATCTAAGTTGAGAATGTATTGAATGAGAGCTGACTCTTCATATTAAGTCAACTTACGTGAGTTAGGAGTAGAGTCACGTCAAGAAGTCATTCTGGTCATCCTGTTGCTTAGTGTAAGGATACCTTCTCGTCTCTCACTCTAAGGAGCAGACTCTGAGTAGCTGCGGGTCACGAGTGATCATTTGGGTGGGCTAACCGAGTCGGATGGGTTTCGGGTACATGAGGGAATTGACTCACGGGGTTCCCCTTGGTCACGTGTAATCATTTGGGTGGGTTAACCGAGTCAGATGGGTTTCGGGTATTTGAGGGAATTGACTCACGTGTCATACTGACATTCATTGCACTCAGTTTGCTATCAAACTCAAGAGCAAACTTAGAAATCTCCTCCTCAAACCTACAAGTCACTATACATATTTTGGCTTGTCACACCAACAACAAGAGCAATACTACTCAACGATTGCTACAACCCTCTATGATTCATTACACGTCATTGCTCCTTAGTTACTGGGCCAATATGACCACATAGCATATCTCTACAACCCTCTATGATTCATTACATGACATCACTCCTTAGTTACTGGGCTAATACTACACATGACATACCTCTATCAACTAGAGGCCTAGGAACATGAACGATAGCTCCAAAAGCTTCTACAACCCTCTATGATTCATTACATGTCATTGCTCCTTAGTTACCCACAAGATTGGTTAAGTTATGACATAATTTGTCTATAGGGGTACTCTGACCTTGGACCTCCTTTCACTTCCTATAGGCTAGGAACCTAGGAGATGGTTCTATGGGATTCTCTTACGTCGACTACAGTTACCAAGCCTGGTTAGTCAGGAAAGTCTTGGAAAATGAGAGAACTACACTCCTTTAGCATAAATAGGATTGCCCTTTCCTTAAGAAAGGGCAAGCAGACAATACACTAAATCGACTATCACATACTTCCACGTCTTTTCCAAGCTTCCAACCATTGATCTTGTTACTCCTTGTTTCTGAAAAGTCAGTGAGGTGCTAACCTCTGACTTATCCCTGAGTTCTCAAACTCAACATTTGTTACAACTTGTCTAAACCACTCCACTACATCATACACCTGATTGCTGCGTTGTGGAATAGTCTAAGCTACGACCCTTTGGCTCTGTTTCCTAAGACAGTGTGTTGTCTTTGTAAAATCATCCCTTTCTTGGAGGGCTTTGTTCATTCTACTATCGACCACACTGCCCTAGTAATAAGGCGTGTCCAGCACAGCAACGGGGCTACAACAGAGGTGCTACAACGGAGGTGCTACAACGGCCAGGGTGATAGCAGGGTAGTAGCACGGCGTCTGTCACAGCCCAGGTGGGGTAAAGCTGTTCCTGGGTAGGCACATGTGTTATAGAGCGGGAGAAGTGCTACAAACTGCGTGCTACCTCTAATAATCCCGTAGCACATTTGGGTCAAGCCCGGTGGTGTGCCAGCCAGCGATGGTGAACGCTCGGGTTTGATCACGTGTTGATAATGGCAAAATTGACCAGCTCAACACGGATGGTTATCGGTGGAATAGCGGCTGCTGGACTTGGACATGGGGCCTGATGTTCGGAAATGGTTCCGGCATAACTTAGCGGGTGCGTCGACCTCGCCGGGACTGCAGAATACATTGACGCGCACGACACGTTCAAGGCAGGGGTCAAAGCTTTTAGCACACCTCATAAACCAGTGTACTGCCGATCGAGGATCTTGCGGCGGCTGTCCGCCCGAGCCGGAAGGGCCAGGATCATCGCCAACACTAGAGGGCTACAAAACGGGAGACATCAAGGCATGCTCCATCAGTGAGGTCCTTCAACATCCATATGTGGGAAGACTATCCACGAATATCGTTATCCAAGGTCCCCTCGGTCCTAGCTTCTTGGTGGTCCCAGAGCAGCTGAGCCTGATAACGACGATGGCTCGCACCTCCGTCTGAGGTTCGTAAGCTAGGGTAGCATCTCTCGCAAGCTTATCTTTGAGCGTCGTCGCTGGTCCTCTCGGCGGTTTAGTCCCGAAGTCTGCTTGGTTCTCGACCAAGTAGCAGATATCCGCATGCGAAGCAGGCTATCCTAGCCCCTATAGCTAGAGTGCCAGAGCTTAGCAGGGTTTATATAAGCAAGTAATTATCACATACGACCATAGACTCAAGAGAACTGGGCATCCCGTTCGCTCTGCCATACATAAGCTCTTGTATCATAAAGTACAATTGTCAAAACCAATATCAGGAATGAGACTAGTATTTATTCACTATAGCCTTTACGTCTATAGCTAATCCGCTTGTCGAAGAGAGCGCGGTCTTATTGAATTTCTGTGGGCTGGAAATGCCTGCTATCATACGACTACTTCTGCTTTTTCGGGATGGCGCCAACAACAGCATTTGCAGAATCGCCTCCAGTGGGTGGGAACTCAAAGGCAGATGTCATAACACAGTCCTTGTTTGCGAACCAGTAATTCGCGCCTTGGCAGGAAGAGCCCTTTTCTGTGCATTGTCGAGTACCTTTTGAATCAAACTATCAGCAAGAGTTCACCATTTAAAATATAGAGCCACGGTTTTATAGAACACTTACAATCGTATACGTCTTTCGCCTTTGTAACGTGGCTGGTTGGCAAACCTACCTTCCACCCATGGTGACAAAATAGCTCATATTCGATCCCTCCCACTGTCAGACTCTGGCCATCAGCACCGGGACACTGTGGTGGCGGATCCATGGAGGCACTATCCACATCGTTGTTGGCGCCACCTTCAGAATTCTCAGTCAGGAATTCGGATTTGAAGGAGCATTGCTTGCTAAGCCTGTTGAACTCGACACCGGCGCACCCCGTTAATGCTCCACAGGCATCAACACATTCAATGAAACTGCCCGCTTGCTCAGCGAATATTTCCTGGCGCTTAGTCGAAATGTTGCAGAAGAGGTTGAATCTCGGACCGGTTGGGGTAATGCGAATATTTCGATGAAGGACGGGGCAAGAGAGGGGATCGTAAACGTAAGACCCGCCATCCTTGCAAGAGCAGGAAAATGTATTTCCTGAACTACAGCAGGCACCTGCAGGTGCAGACACGTCCGCTCTTTGGTAGGTCTTGCCAGCGCCACAACTGGGAGATCCAGGACAATTGGTAGTGGGTTTCGTGCGGCACGCTTGCAGGCCAGTTCTGGGATCAACATATGGCTCACCAAAACAAGGCTGTGGCCTGTTTGACTCTGGCAGGAGCACGCAAGCCCAAACACCATTCGAATCTCGAGCTCCAACATACGCTGCACCATAGGTTGGATCGCTGTGGCAGATACCATCTGCCCAAGATTGGTCAGAGTCTACAGCACCCGGCTGGGTCTGATTGTTTTTGAAAGGGTTTGGGTACGCCGAAGGCCCATCATCGGGTTGAACAGCTGGTGCAGGTGTGGCGAAAGGCGCAAATGGGTTTGGATATTGCGATTGAGCAGCAACGATGCCGTTATTCGCACATATAACTAATGCCACGGGAATGAGGGCAAAAGACCGACGGTTGAAACTAATGTGGACCATTGTTATTAACTTAAAATGGGGTCGATATTTGACGAATACTCAGAAACTCTTTGTTACTGGAGCGAGATGAGGTTTTAAGGACGAAAATGATAATAACTGCTGCTGAGGAACTGAGAACCTTGGTCTACTTGTAGGTTCCAAGTTCGCTCTTTGTCGAGCTATTGTAGACCTTGACTTTCTTTCAACAGCAATGCGAGGAACTCCCAAGACAGACAGTGGTCCGAGCAAGACAGAAGCGCTATGGAATGCATTGCATTACCGAACGCAGTGGAACTCGAATACGCCATTGAATGCGGTGGAATGCATAGCGTTGAGACATTCGTCGTATATGCGCATCATCCGAGCTGACCAGGCACTCTATCTGTCTCTGTGCAGTTTTTTATCTGCAGGAAGATCCCAATCGGACGCTGTTTGATTTTTTATCACAGAGCTTGTTCCCACGTATGCGAAACGGCGTCGCAGATCAGCTGCCTGAATACGGCAAATTCGATGATCCATGCCGATTATGAACATTTGTCGATCAATGTTACGTTCCACGGGAGTAGCCGCATGGCGGAAGCTAAATGTAGGCCGGATAAAACCCTAGAACCATCGAGTTTGGACATAAACGCGATTTCGATCGCGCTAAACCCCTAATGTCCGACATGCCTTTAATGTGGCACAACGGAGACTTTCGCAGTCTGGATATACGACATTCAGCTGCGAGCTTTCTGCACTTTGCTGTTGTGTCCAAGATAGTCTCAGGAGAACAATCTATCGACAACGGGCCAACCTCCCAAAGTGGCACTTCAGCTCCGAGCATCTTCATGTACTTTCTGACTGATGACTCAGTTTTGGTGCCGATATCGACAAGAGTTTCCAAAGTGGCGCTTAAGCTCCGAGCTGAGCTGACCAGCTGACTTTGAGTTGACTTCGTTTTGTCAATATTGGAATGCACTGCATGTGATTGCATTATAGAATGCATTGGGCTGCACTGCGTGTGACAGCACTTTAGGAAGATCTTCCGGAGGGTCGTTGGGAAATCATGCGGCATAATGCATCTGTGAACGCATTAGGTGAGTTCGTAGTGAAAACCCAGGAGATAGATGCCTCAAATAACAGGAGAAGTTTTGGGTTGATTTAAGCCATTTTGCATGATTTAATATTCTTCTATAAAGGAATGCTTCGCCCCAATAACTAAGTCCACTCTATTTTATTAAACACAGCCTTACACGACACACCTCTTGTCTCTATCAAACCAAAAGTATTCCAACTGAAGCATCCTTCCGGCCAAGCTCTCTCCCCTTTTTGGTGTCAAATATCGACTTCATTGTGTCTGTCAAAGTGTGTATCCTAGGACTTGTAACTTCCTTAAATGCTTTGAGTGTTAACATATATCCAGTTTCAACTTGCTCAATTAAGATGCAACTCACTTCCGTCGTCTTTGCCACCAGTATTTTGGCCAGCACGGCCAACGCCTGGTTCTTTCCCCTTCGTCCTACCCCCTGGATCCCCATTTCGCCACCTCCAGTCACCTCAACCTGCACGGCTGCAATATCTTACAAGCCATTAGGCTCGTTCTTGTTCGGGTCTCTATTTCCGAATCCATGGGCTGGCTTGGGCGGCTCTGTGACAATTCCCAATTGCAACGCGTCTCCTGCCCCGGTCTGCCCATCTGGACAATCATGTTTATCAACCGCCAATCCCTGCGCCGCTGGTCAAACTTGCTTGTCCAGCTCCAACCCTTGCTCAGTCAGTGGGCAGTCCTGTTTGTCGCCTCCACCAGCTCACAGGTTCCCTGCTCAACAGGCTGCGGCCAACGGACTCTGTGCCAGCGCTGGTCCCGGGCTAGTAGCATGTCTTGATCCCACGGGTGTGGCAACGTCATGTTGCGCCCCATAGTTTTACTCCTTTGATGTTGAACGAGGGCGTAAATGGGATCCGTAATGTGCTGTGGGTATACTAGGCAGGGTGACGGACTGGAGATTGAACGAGAATTGTCTATGTTGGTCATGTATTCGCGCACGAGAAACTTGATCTCTACCCTAGTTGCATTAAAAGTGGCAAATATGCTACATGAGTCCCAATATAAAATATCGGCAGATATCCAGTATCTAGGCTGTCCTTTCAGCGAAATATTTATCTCGATAGCGAACTCATACATATCACACCTCGTTTGCATTGTTATTATTCAACGAAGGTTGTGATTCAAAAGCTTTGCGTAGGCACGTCAAGTAGCGCAGTTATGGGTTTCGTTTTTTACTTTTCTCCTGTTTGATGATGACCACATGTAATTGTGATTAGACAGTGTTTTCCGCCTGGGATTATTTGTTCTTGCTTCGGAGGGAGGATGGTGGGGTGCGTGCGGGGATGGATCGGTGAAGGGGCGGGATTTGGTGTGTACGTACATTGGGCGGTGGCTAAGACATCTCCGTCCTCTGTGCGTTCTAGGTACATGGGTGGAGCGGACTGGACCGGATACAGTATATCCTGCCGTGCAGTCAGTGCCTTCAATACGATTCGTGTCGTGCATTTTCTCGCCTGATGGGGAAGCCCCGAAGATTCATGATTCAGTTCAGCTAGACTTGTTAATTGTGGCGGCGCCACAAGCAAGATCAGGGGCACGTTTTGGGCGATTGGCAATTGGGCTGAGGGGCTGAGGGGCTGAGGGGGAAATATTGATGATTGGGGTGGTGGGGCGGACGGGACGGACCGCGGTCAGGGGTAGCAGGGTAGATGGTCAGGGGCTGCCCTTGTATAAAAAATGAAGTGCTGTCAGTGTCTGATATGCTGTCAGTGTCTCATGTGCTGTCAGTGCCTAAGAGCAAATATGACTTATCAATCAGAACAACCCGCATAACGAATAGCTGTAGCCTGATGTGCACACTGCAGTGATGTGATAGCACAATCCTTAGGAAGCGGCTTTGATAGAAACCAAAAGATCCAGACATGCATGGCTGACGGCATATATCTAGGTGGGCCTGAGCAGAATATGTCTTGACTATTGGCACAGCCAATGGAACAAATAATGACTCGATCATTGCGTTTTTCTTAAAGGTCACCTTTCTTCACACAATTTTAACATATTTCGTTTTGAATTCCTTTATCATCTGGCGGAACAAGTTCAGCGACCTCTCTCATGATGGGTTACATTACTGATGTTTCTAAATCTAGCCTCCTACTAGTTCTCACTTCTTTCATTTGGGTTAACAGTGGTTCCGCTCAGTCAACCTACCCCAATCCTTTTGCTCCCGCTCCCCCAGCAGCCTCAGCCCCAGCAGCGGGTTCAGCAGCCGGCGGAACAGGCGGCTACCCAAATCCATTTGCTCCTGTCCCTTCAGGCTGCCCAGTATTGACTGACACCAATGTTGCTGTCTGCCCAACGAGCGACAACAGTGTATACTACACACCAGATGGTACATTCTTCAAGATCCAATGCGCCCATCACCATGGAACAGCGACTGTTCAAATAACAACGGCATCATCCTTTCAAATTTGCATCGACAAGTGTAGCCAAGAGAACGCTTGTAATAGTGTCAATTACGTTCCTACAAGCCTTGGATGTACTCTATTATCTTCAACAGGTGCTGCAACAGTTTCAGAAGCGTCCGCTGGTCAGAACTATGCATACAAGGTCAATCCACCAACACAGTCCGCCAAAGATGAGAACTTGGTGGCCTGTTCAACTTCCTGCCCCTCAGGTAAGTGTGTCAATGGAAGTACATGAAATAGACTAATTTCCGGTTCAGCAAATGGCCAAAGTTACTCCTCTATATTTGGAGAAACCTTTAGAATCAGCTGTGGCAAACGCCATGGAACAGAATATCTCAGGATAGATAAGCAAGCGACGCTGAAAGATTGCATGGATTCTTGCGCCTCTTATATCCCATGTCACAGCGTTGACTATCACGGTCGATCCCGGACTTGTTACTATTCCAACCACCATGGTGAACCCACTATTGTCACCCCTGGTTTCAGCAGCGCCTATTCTCTAGGTTGCACTAGTTCATGTTGTGGAAATGCTGCATCAAGTTCGAGAGGGTGCAGTGGCTATAACTCATGTTCGCCACCATGTGTTCCCCCCAAGCCCTTGGGACCACCAATGCCGGATTCCTGCGGTAACCAGGGCCTCCAATACGCAATCTACAGCAATACGAAATCGGACGGGTCTACCAACCTATTCACTGGAGCTGGCTATCCAACATTTAACACGGAGAAGTTTAAAACCGATCCCTTGCAATATTCAGGCATGACGCCGAGTATAGGTTTTGGCTCGAGTACTCCCATCTACGGCAACGCTCCTGCAGACCCAGGCTATACAGTTGTTAACCACCGAGCCTACATTTTTGCACAACAAAGCGGTGATTACATTTTCCGCCTCCCGTTCGTCGACGACATTTCTCTCCTCTGGGTAGGTCCAGCAGCATACTCAGGTTTTACACGAGCAAACGCGAATATTATACAGTCGTTCGTTTCAGCCGTTCAGGTACCCGTCACATACAGTGCAACGTTTGAGGAAGGAAAGTATTATCCAATGAGAGTAATATGGGCGAATGGAGGTGGAGCTGGTGGGCTTTCGTTCGAGTTGAAGGGACCTGATGGGAAAGTCATCATAGGTGCCGACACGACAGAACCTTCACCATTCTTGGTACAATACTCTTGTGACGAGACAACTGCGCCGAGATTTCCGCCCTTCGGGTCAGAGACTTGAAGCAAAAGTCGAAAATATGAGGGTTTGCAATCCTGGGAACAAACTTTTCGGATTGGGCGTACTATTATTGTCCGGTTCATGGCTTCCTCATCTGTTGCGTATCACGTGAAATATCATGTTTCACGGAGGAGCTGCATTAAGTGTATTCCTCTAAAAGGGTGTCCTACTATTTACACCTACAAAGGCAAAGGTTACGGAGGGTCTCGGAACGGACAATGTCACAAGGTCCAGTAGTTCAAGATATATCTTTTCACTCCTAAGTCTAATTTCGTGCACCATCTCCACGTGATTCTTGAAAAGGATAATGTTGTTGAGAAGTAGCCCTTCGGCCTTGCTGTCCTCTTTTCTAAATGCCTCTCAACATGGTCCATCATCTTGTCGGGTTTCGAAAATGTGCGCATGCGCCTGTCATAACTCTGTCCATCGTCACCAATACAAAATATACACAGAGATAGCACTCTAGTTATTGTAGATTCTCATCCATGGGACATCAACTTCGAACTAGATGATGTTATTCAGTTTGAAGATAGCAGAATTCGAGATGAAAGAGGATTGACTGATAGTGTAGAAGAGGTTGTAACGATGTACGATTACGCTCGCGCTACATCCTACTGAGCCAAAAAGACTACAATATTCCGGCTCGCCTGGAATACGCATAACACGCTATATATACTGTAACGGTTGCACTCTGGCACCCCGTTACAGAGGTACAGTCCTCTAATATATTAATGTATCCTGAAACAGATATTAACGGGGTTGCGTACGTTATAGATGTATCACATATGACAGAAGATCAAATCAAGGTGATGTGCGAAAATGTAAGTTATTGATAATACATTGCTAATATAACGTGCATGTATAACGAAAGTGCCAAACAAGCGAAAGTGCCAAAATATCGCGACTACCCCATAAGAATTGCGATAAATCCACCACAACAATATAAATTAATTAAAACTACTCGGAGTCCTCTTCCTCAGACCTGTCTATTACAATCTGACAAGTGCGCGCATTGTGTCCAGTCTCACCACACTTGCCACAGCGACGTGCATGGGTTTCTTCCCTTGGCTTCTGACCACTACATGCCCTTATTTCTTGCTCTACTTGCTGCACAACGTCCCTCTCGTCCTGTAGCTCCTGTGCTACCTGTTGACTAAGTGATCCTCCTTGCTGTAGTCGTGTTTTTTTAGCTCTCCGGCGCTTGCTTAGCACTTCATTTGCCTGTCGCAGGTTTTGGTTCTCTGCTTTTAACAATGCTAATTGATGCATTATTTGCGATGCACCCTTTGTAAACTGGTCAACAGCTGCATAGATTGAGGTTGGAGAGCTATTTTGATGATGCGCAATTCAGTTTTTAATGAAAGTAGACTGTGATACAGCTTCAGTTGGGTTATTTGGTGTCTGAGAAACCCATGGTTGAGCGGTGTTTGGGCGAGAGGTTGGAGGTGTTGGCGTCTTAAACCTAATGTCAAGTGTAGATATTACACTCTTAGGGCTAAATGGAAGAAGCCCAGCACCTCGGAACCCTCCCTGAATATTGCTTTCTGTCATTGCAATGTTAAATGCAGCGTGGAAGGCAGGAAAGAAGTCATCCTTAGTAATGTGAATAATATGAGCCCGCATCATATCTTCAATTTGCTGACCGTAAGCTCTCTTTAATGGGCCAAAACAGCCAACATCAAGTGGTTAGAGTATATGGGAAGAGTGAGCAGGCATACAAAGCGTAATAATGTTGTGTTCTTTGCAGTACTCCTCAAACTTGTCTGAGTGGTGGCTCTCATGACCATCAAGGACTAACAAGCGATAACCACCAACACTCCGGGGCTTTGTGTGCTTCTCAAAATGCTGAATCCAATCCATACCTCTCTAGTTTGTAGTCCAGCCATTTGCAGTAACAGCGATTACCCAATCTGCTGGAAATCCGCTATTCTCATACCAAGATGCAAGGTGGTTTTTACCTGCCACAATGACAAATGGCGGCACTGCCCAACCTTGAGAACTAACGCCTTGGATTACTGTAACCCATTCCCGATTGCGAGGCTGCACCTTTTTTGCCTTTGCCCGCCCATCTGAGCTCGTTACTACCGTTGCGCTTGAGATGACGCCCATCATAAACCCAGTCTCATCAAAGTTGTAGATATCTGCATTGTTGATGCCATACTTTAGAATTGTGTTCCATACAAGCTCAAACCAGCCACGAATGACTTCTGGATCTTCGCACTTAGCCCTCTGGTAGTCGTATTTTCGCTGGAAGCGTGTCCGGAGCTCTACATGGCGCTTAACAAAGTTTGAAGCCCAACGTGACCCGACGCGTGGCGCGTCGCGTGTTGCAAGTAGTCGATTTGCCATATCTTCAACAATAGACAACTGAGGAGGGAACCCTTTAGCAGCTAAGTCAAGTATATACTGAACAAGAACTGATTCTTCTAGGTTACTTAATTTCTGTAAGTTGGCTTGGATATCGCGTCGTGAAGGTATGCCTTGTAAACGGTGACGTAGCTTGCGGTGGTCTACGGAATAGATCCTAGCTGCAACTCGAAGGCGCAAATTTGGGTCGCTTTGCATAGCTTGGATAGCTAGCACTAATTTGCTTTCATCATTTTTATGGCGCATGTTTTGTTGTGGAGGAATTTAACATTTAGTTGGGGGGGTTGGTCGCCGCATGATTTTGGCACTTTCGCTTGTTTGGCACTTTCGTTATACATGCACGTTATTGCTAATGCATTAATAGATTCAATACTGCCACAAGAAACAGATCAGTGGAAAATCTTGTTACTCAAGCATTTTAAATAACGTGGTTTATCACCGAGCGGATCATATCACCAAGCAGATCACTTTTCTACTACCCTACCACTTCAAAATACAATTGAATCACCATAACGAGTAATATTTATTAAAACTACTCAGAATCTAATCAACTACATATATCTATACCCTCTTGACAAGTTCATGCATTATGGACTGTCTTTCCGCAAGTGCTACAGTGTCGCATAGTCGGCTGCCTATATTCTGACCACTTCCCTCCAAGCGCTTGTCACGATGAATTTGCGCATCCACATCCTTCAAGTGCATCCTCTACCATCAAGTGCATCCTCTACAGTAAGTGCACCTCCTTGATGGGCACGTGTTCTTTACTCTACAATGTCCCTTATGCTATTACTTTCTTATAGAATGACTAGCCGAACATCTTGTCATGAACTTAAGGCTAATTGCCATAAGTTGACAGAAGTAGAAGAGGATGTATATCCTTGACCTTGATACAAGAGAATTTGCACCCCAGCTAGCTGGTGTAGAAGATATAGTGAATTATGTACTAGAATCACTCAGAGAACAACATGTTAGCAAGCTCTAGGTGCATCGATTTGTACAATGGCGTCTAGAGTTAAAGACACATTTTAATCACGTTTATGACTTCTAAAGAGCTCTTTGCGAAGATCCTAAGCTCATTAGAGCGTGGTTCCGACTAGTAGAGAATATGCGAGCCAAATATGGGATTTAAGACTGCAATTTCTACAACTTTGATTAGACTGGCTTTATGATAGGTATCTGTCCTAGAATAGTTGTTACATGCGCCGATCGATGTGGTAGATGCAAAGCTATTCAGCCTAGCAATCGAGAATGGGCTATAGCAATTGTTTGTGTCAATAGTGAAGGTTTAGACATTCCTCCATTTTTGGTAGTTTAAGGCAAAAACCACCTTGCTAGCTTGTACATATAGGGCGGCCTTCCTCGAGACTAGGTTATTAAACCTACTTCTAATGGATGGACCAACAATGAGACAGGTCTAGAATGGCTAAAACACTTTGACAAACACAAAGGGACATATCGAATGCTAGAGCTAGATGGGCATGAGAGTCACGAGTCGGCTGGTTTCCAAGAGTATTGCAAAGCTAATAGCATTATAACTCTTTGTCTACCTCCTCACTCGTCCCATCTAACCCAACTGCTTGATGTTGGGTATTTTAGTGATTTACGCATGTACGGACGTTAGATTGAGACCTTCATTAAGGCTCCCATAAACCATATTACTAAAGTCGAGTCCTTTCTAGCTTTTCACAAAGCTTACAACTAGTCAATAACAACTCAAAATGCGATGGCTGGATTCCGTGGAGCTGGTTTAGTACCCTTCAATCCACAATTGATTATTTCAAAGCTGGATATCAAGTTATGGACTCCTACACCTACTGGACCCCCATCTACTAATGCTGACCCTTAGGTCTCTCGAACGACCCAACTGATGCTCTTTTGCAGTCAACTCTAGTTAAAAATTGTATTGCGCACCACTAAGGAAGCTCGCCAACACCTATTTTCCAAACAGCCGCTACATTGGCAAAAGGTACAGAGATGTTAGCCCATAAGAATACTCTTTTGGCTGCTGAGGTCCGAACTCTTCACATGGCAAACGAGGCCCTTAGCAAACGATGACTAAGTTTCTTAGATGAACGGATAGCCATCGATAGCTAAGATGATTTGTGCTTCTTAGGATTGGATTTCCATTATTGGTTGTTAAGAAAACGCGTGTTAAATTTGGTAGGTAGTAAACTCGGGAAAAGTGATCCGCTTGGTGATAAACCACGTTAATGCTTTTTGTACAAGAGTTACATCACATTGCATAGGAGTAGCACATTGTGAATATCTTGACCTAGTAATAAGCAATATAGAGCATACTCAGCTATGAGGCGAAGACTAGGAACTGATAATAAATACTCAGGAATTGCTCTCAATACCCTCACAAGAGAAAGATGCAAACAGGTATAAGAATATATTCTTAATCTATTTACAATAACGTATTTCACATGCGAGTCGCCATCCCGGGCGAGTCGCCACCACCAAAACACCAAAACACATCAACTTAACTATAGTCAACAATGCCATGACCAACACAAGCCCAATCCTCTAATCAAGAGGGCAGGATACTATTAGCTATTCAAGCAATAAACAAGGCAATTGTCAAACTGTTCAAGCAGCTGCAGTATCATACGATGTGCCCCGTACAACCTTACGTGACCGGATTCGTGGTATAACTTCTCGACGCGACTCTACTCCTAACTCACGTAAGTTGACTCCGTACGAAGAGTCAGCTCTTGTTCAATATATTCTCGACCTAGATTCGCGTGGATTTCCACCCCGACCGCAAGGCTTTGCATAGCCTGGATAGCTAGCACTAATTGGCTTTCATCGTTTTTATGGGGCATGTTTTGTTGTTGAGGAATTTAACATTTAGTTGGGGGGT